ACAATAAGTGTGTTGCTCAACAACAACATGTTTGTTATAAACAAAAAAGAAATTTAAATCAACTTCTGTCACGGAAATCGATTCAAATTTCAACCTTGATACAATATTATGTTGTATTCCAGCAAATAAAATCATGTTTTTGTTATCTATAGTAAAAATTTTGATTCGATTTGATAAATACACGATCGACAACCTTAATACTTGAAATTCTTCAATGATAAGCAACCTAATTCAAAAATTAATACGTATAACATATTTACTCATGTACTACACGATTCTTAAATAAAATTAAGGATAACGAAATGAACACACAGTACAACTAATCATAAATAAATATCGTGGCCTACAAATACCTTAATCTATCCTCGATTAAAATGAAAATGCAGATGCGTTGTCACTCCTGAAAAGACAAGAAAGGCGGAATCAGACGGTTCACTCGAAAGAATGTTCACTTGAGTGAATACTTAATTTTCTTTTGTTCCATGTTCACACCGCTGGAAAAGATTATACATAGTAATATTTTTACGTAAAAATAAAGATTTTGTATTTATTTGTTAAAAGTATATGCTGCTCCTATATACCTGCTCCTTTCTTTCAATATGTCGTCGAATGATGTAGTGCGTCTTGAAATTGGTTTGATTTACAATTTTTTTATATAGTATAAGGGTAACAAGCGAGCACACAGTTCAACAACATTTATCCACGATTATGAATCAAAATGCAGATGCGTTGTCACCTCTAAGGACTAAGATGGAATGCCTCGTTTACACTAAAAAGAGTGTCCGGTTCTCTACACTCACCATACGAAATACAGCAGCATTAAGCTACTATTTGACGCTGATATTCTGTGAGAGCGTGGTCCCTCCCCGGTCGAGCCGACCCATTCGTGCTACAACTATACTACTAATATAACTACAGCATGGCTCTACCACGTATAAAATCATATCAAACAATAGACTGTTTATGATGAGGACGCAGTGGAATTCGGTGAAGCGACATTTGGTGTTCTTTAAAATTTACCTCTTAAAATTATATTCATACCGATCTCGATCAAATAGACTGGAATACCCAACTGACAAATTTATAAAACAACAGATGTGGATCAAGTCTGAACAAAAATCAAGCTGATTATTTAAGTATGAAATAAGGAAAAAAGAAGCAAAGAAAACTCCATATCTTTATTTTATTTATTAAGTTGTATTCCAAAGACCTTTGATAATTTTTAAAATTGTCCAAAAACGCCATTGTGTTTTGATCGTTCCACTTGAACACAATTTTGCCGCGACGGTTGTCCTGACATTTGTCTGCTACGGGACTCGGGACAAAATGACCGACCGGAGTGAAAGTTCTCCTTGTGGAGTGTAGAAGTAAGGAGTATCGACTCCCATAGGAGAATTGTTGAAAAAGTGTCTATCTGTAAGCAGTAAATAACAGTTCAATAACTCTCCACTACAGCACTCGAGTAGATACGAGGTATGTTAAATCGCCGTAAAATACGTTGAGATTGATTTTGAAAATAAAAATTTTGAAAGAAATAAAAATTATTATTGTAAAAAAAATTATGGTGAAAGTCTGTGCAATAAAAAATATAAAAACTTCTTTAAAATTTAGACTACATAATCTGTACTCCTTACCTCTACACTCCATAGTTCTCAGTGTTCAAAGTTCAAACTGTTAATTGTTTATTGATTCGGAGTGGAAGGTAACGATGGCGAATGCCAATGTCCAACATTGTTGGATCGATTCATTAATGAATTCATTCGACACTTTTCTTTCATTTCATATTCAAACGTTTCATTTCCAGTGAAAAATGCTGAATGAAAGACACAAATGAACGAAAAATGAACCATCTCATTCTGCCTTAAAATGGAATATCTGACTGACTGCTGTCATTTTCTTACATTTTACATTACCTACTTACTTTTCTTCAATTTTGTTTATATATTTTATGGCAAACTTTTCTAGTTCATATGTTGTACAAAAGTAAGTAATATTCACTACAGGATTTGCTCATTTTACAAGTTTATTGCTGGATAATTAGAGGCTGTTACTTTAGCTTACAACGAATTATATTTACTTCTGAGCAAAGGTGGTCTTGAAAAAGCGGCATCTGTCGACTCCCTGTGCTCCTTAGATCGTCTCACAATCTACTAGGCAATTTAAGTTCACTTGAGAATAATTCTTTCTTCAAATTTCAAAATTGCGATTAGCGATTGCACTGGAGGGGAGCAAGCTCGGGTTGGTACGATATTTAATGTTTATTAAATAAATATCAAACAATTTTGCTGTTCTTTGTATTTACGAGTGTAAGTAAATAAATAATACGTAGATATCCATGAAATGAAGTATCTATCTTGTATACACGAGTTCATTCATCATACATATACACGAATTAGTACAGTGAACTAATTTCGGGCTATATAGTTGCGACAATACTGATTGTTATCTACATATGTTTTACGACGGTTGATCGATAGCTTAAAATTACCAGGAATTCGATGTTTACCAGGAGATCCGCATCGACTACTGACTCATACTGTCTTCGTTTTTGCAGCTACGAGTATGTGTAAAGATAAATCCTTGGTAAAGCGCTTCGATATAAGCACGTGGTAATCGAGGCGTCGGCATTAGTTCACTGGACATTGTACAGAGCAGCTGTAGCAAGCACACATTCAATAACTAAACAATAAACAAACTGTAAGTAAAAATCCTTCAGTTTATATAATTTGAAACTTCTAGTAAATAAATAAAGAAATTTTTTCTCAAAGTCAGTTAATTGTAAACTATTCGGAAATTTGTTTATTCCCTGACGATGTCTTCAACATAGAAATTGATCGTCCGTTCAGCCAATTTTCAGCGTTAACCCTAAACGAGCGTACTGTTTTAATTAGTGTCACACCCACTTTGTCTTCGTCACACGTACATCTATATTTAAATTATAAATAGTAGAAAAGAAATTTTCACAGGTTCGGCTTTATAATCTGAGTAAATAATAATCAGTCCATATCAGAGCGTAAGAATCAAAAAATTATAATTTGTGGTTGGGCTTAAAAAACCGTCTCTGTAACCGAAATCGGGCAAAAGAACTACTAAATAAACTACTAAACTAGAGTTCACTACCTAATACTTTTAAATTTTACATTTGAAATACATTTTTTAAATATTGATTTCGATCGTAACTTATACACTTGATATAAGTATAAAAACAATATTTTTACATTTGCAAATAAATTATATTAGATGATATTATAACAGCTATCTAAGCTCCTTGAATGTTTAAAGTATTAACTTTTCAACATAGATATTAGGTAAGTTATATATTTTTTACCGTCGATGATAATCAGTATTTTATAGTCACGATTCTTTTTGTCGTACATAATCGATGTACTTAACCAGTTATTATCAATAGAAACTCAATGTATGATGTCAGTGTTAATTTAAAAAAATGATATGAAAGATAATAAAAATGTTGATTTATTTATTAAAAAATATTACGTGAAAGAAAAGGTTCTCGAGTGGCAGCCTCGTACCGGTAGACGAAGTGTACCCCCCACTAGATGGAGTGACGACCTGGTAAGACATGCAGGAAGTCGGTGGATGCAGGTGGCTCAGGACCGTACTTTGTGGCATACCTTGGGGGAGGCCTATGTTCAGCAGTGGACTTGTAAAGGGCTGTAATGATGATGATGATGTAATTACGTGATATATAAGATTATATCGGGGATAAACATACTTAAGAGAAAGGTTAAAAAGCGATTATTTTTGTTCAGACTTGATCCACATCTGTTGTTTTATAAATTTGTCAGTTGGGTATTCCAGTCTATTTGATCGAGATCGGTATAAATATAATTTTAAGAGGTAAATTTTAAAGAACACCAAATGTCGCTTCGCCGAATTCCACTGCGTCCTCATCATAAACAGTCTATTGTTTGATATGATTTTATACGTGGTAGAGCCATGCTGTAGTTATATTAGTAGTATAGTTGTAGCACGAATGGGTCGGCTCGACCGGGGAGGGACCACGCTCTCACAAAATATCAGCGTCAAACAGTAGCTTAATGCTGCTGTATTTCGTATGGTGAGTGTAGAGAACCGGAGACCCTTTTTACTGGAAACGAGGCATTCCATCTTAGTCCTGACGGGTGACAACGCATCTGCATTTTGATTCGTAATTGAGGATAGATGTAGATGTCTATGGACCACAGCAACCACTTACCATCAGGTGGACTGTGTGCTCCTTTGTCACCCTATCCTATAAAAAAATAGACTTGCAATATAATAATAAATAGTAATGATAATAATTTGATCACGGCGGCCAGTTTCAACGAAGACCCGCCATCTGCGCAGGATAGGATTATAGTGCACGGTCACTCTCATATACTGATGGGACGGCAATTCAACACGTTACCGGAGGGAAATAAGACGCACGACCAATGACTTTACTTTCTTTCCAAGCTACTGGGGTGAAACATCGTCAACTTCTTAAACTAACTGTTACTAAGAATTTCTTGAAAGTAACAGCAGTCGCCCAAGAGCATACGACAATCAGAAGTCCAATAAGACATTTAAACAAGTCAAAAAGAGTATTGACTGTCAGCATACACAAGGTTATTCCGGATGAAACACTGTTAAAGCAAAAACATTTCCCCACATTTAACCTACAAGTATTACGACTCCTGGTGGAGAATGAACATGTAGTGAGATATGTTAATATTTTCTATTGCGGCGAAACGTAATAAAATGTAATATAAACAGTACGAAATTAAGTTTTCATCGTGAAATTATTACTTATTTTTAAAAACTGTATTCACAAGAAGACTTTAAAACTTAGACGTTTCTCATCACGATTCCAAATTATTTTTTCAATTAGTATATATAAGTAGCAAGAGAGGCAAATTCACTTTGTGTTAATTCAGTGATAGATTTATAGATTATTAAGAATTTTAAAAACCCACAGAGGATTCATTGTAATGATAAATCATCTCTTTTTTTCGTAGAATATGGCTGATTCCGATCGTGTTGTTTACCCTGACGAAGTAGACGAAGCTAAGAAAAACGCAACTGAAGCCAAAACTGTGGAGGCTAGTAAGAATGCTTCTGAAGAAATAACCGTAAATTCGGATATCCAGACACGAAATATGATTTCAGTCCCACAAAATTGTCCGTCTGGCTACAAAATGGGGTCTGACGGTGTTTGTCGGGAAGTGTTTGATTAGGAAAATTTACGACAGTATTCACTTAGTAATATTTACATTTATATAAATGATGTCTCTTTAATTATGAAGCTCGATAGGCGAAAAATAGTATATTGCAAAAACTTACAGAAGTTTCAATATAATACGGTAGAAATCCGAAATAATTTAAGTTTAGGTTAGATTAAAAATATTTTTTATTATTATTCGTCACAGTATTATTATGTTCCTTTTATTACGTAAGATAAGAACTGTCGGTGTATTATTTGGTGTCCAATGAGGTGTTAAAATAAAGTTATTGTTTGTTTTTTTGTTCTTTTTTTTCCTTTAGATTTATTAATACTCCTAGAACACAATTCAGGCGTCATGGTGACAGCATGTTTATACGTTAATTTTTTTAGAAATGTATACGATTTTGGAAACAAAAAATTACTTTTTCAGTGATAATTATGTAAGATGCGACCGCTATTTGAAATATATTGAGTGTGTCACCAGCCACAGCGCGTTTCACTCGTATTCCCCGCAACACAATATTTAACAGTGGCTACGAGCTTACCCTCGTATTAAAAAAAAAGTCGATCGGAAATTTCGGTATTTTGTCTGTTTTCGATCATAGTGTACAGTGTTGGAAAACTTACTAGAACAGACTTACACAGTGGTTCATAGCGAACGACATTGATATAGTTAATGATCCAGCGGGAATCAAGAGGCGAGCGATCTTGCTGAGCGCACTCGCCGAGGGCTCATATAAGTTAGCGTCGGACTTGGCCCTTCCAAAAGAGCTACAAACAGTGCCCTATGAAGACATTTTGGGATTGCTGGATGCGCATTTCATCACCAAACAGGTTGGGTTTGGAGAACGTCATAAGTTTTATACTGCTACCCAACTACATGGCGAAACACCGTCGCAGTGGGCCGCGAGATTACGTGGACTTACCGCTAACTGTCAGTTTTCGAACGTGGAGGAGGCACTACGTGATCGTTTTATTATGGGGATGCTGCCGGGAGTTGAAAAGGAACGCATATACGCACAAGATTTGACTTGACCTTAGACCTTGACCTTAATGAATGCGGTTGATATGGCTGAAAGTACGCGCAACGCGCGCGACGCCGCGAGCAGCGCTGGCATCGGCGCCGCCGCCGATAGCGTCACCGCCGAGCAGCAGCTCTTCAAAATTAAGAAGAGAGAAGGTGAAAAGGTGAAGTGTGAAGTGTGTGAATACTCAAATCATAAAACGGCCGACTGTCGCTATGCCGATTATACCTGTAAAAAGTGTAAAGTTAAAGGGCATTTACGTAGGATGTGCACAAAAGTGAATTATGTGTTGGCAGGCGATGTAGGCGAGGAGGACGACGGTGAGTTATTTAATATTCGATGGCTTAAAAGTGAACCTATGGTAGAAACCGTATCTGTTAATGGGGTAAATTTAAGGTACAAAATAGATAGTGGGTCAGCAGTAACGGTAATTTCTGAAAAACCATACAATTCTCATTTTAACGACGTGCCATTGTTAGCTACCGATAAAAGGTTAATGAGCTATTACGGTAGCGAGACAGCCTGCACGGGCGTCGCAACCGTGTCGGTGCGGTTCGCGGGCAGCCCGCTGCGCCTGTTCGTAGTGCGGGGCCGGGGGGCCGCCGTTATTAGGAAGAGATTTTATTTCTTTGTTCAGATTACAACTGACACCGGTTAATTACTGTCAACAAATTCAAAATGAAATTGACTCATTACATTTACGTTATCCCGAAACTTTTTCAGGTAAACTAGGGTGTTTTAGTAAATACAAAGTAACCCTTACCTTAATAGACGATGCCTGTCCATGTTTTTTTAAAGCCCGTCCTATGTCTTTCGCTTTGAGGGAAAAGGGCGACAAAGAAATCGATAAAATGGTGGAAATGGGAGTACTCCGTCCCGTAGAATATTCGGAATATGCGTCTCCCATCGTTCCAGTTTGAAAACGAGATATGCGCCGATTATTCAGTTACCAATTTATAAACAAAAAATAAACAACTCGTCGTAGAGCAATACCCCTTACCGACAATTAACGAGTTATTTTCAAACTTGTTCGGTGGTAAACAATTCACAAAGATAGATTTATCAATGGCTTACAACCAATTTTGTTTAGACGAATCTCAAAAAATAACATGTAGAAACACATACCGCGGCCTATACGTATACACGAGGCTCGTGTTCGGTTTGGCGTCAGCTCCGGCGGTGGTCCAACGCGCCATGGAGTGCGTGGTAGCGGGGCTGCCAGGGGTGCTGTGCCTGCTCGATGACGTGCTGGTCACGAGCCGCGACGACCAAGAGCACATGGATCGGCTGAATGCGGTGCTGCAGCGGCTGCAGGTGCAGGCTTGACGTTGAACAAAGATAAGTGCGAATTCTTCAAGGACGAAATAAAATATTTGGGTTACGTCATTACTAAGAACGGACTAAAAAAAATCGCCAGAAAAGGTTAAGGTAATCATAGAGGCACCCATGCCTACGAACGTTTCACAGCTGCAATCCTTCTTAGGATTAGTAAACTACTACAGAAGTTTCGTCCCGGGCGCCTCAACAATTTTATTTCCTTTGTACGATTTAAAAAAGGGCACAAAATGGAATTGAATTAAATTACATGAGAAAACTTTCAATAAGATTAAAAAAATATTGATTTCGGAACGGACATTAGCTCATTTTAATCAAAATGCAAAACTCTAATTGTCGACGCGTCACCAAATTAAAAAGTAGTACCTTAAATAGCGCCGAGAAAAGATATTCTCAGATACAAAAGGAGGCAACAGCGATAATATTCGGCGTGCGTCGGTATCATCAATACCTATACGGCCGGTCGACTCCATTCACATTACGTACAGACCACAGACCGTTATTGTCAATTTTTGGTTCACATAAAGGCATCCCGGAGGTATCCGCAAACAGATTGCAAAGGTACGCACTGTTCCTAAGTGCTTATAATTATGTAGTAGAATATGTGCGTAGTTGTAATAATAGCGCGGACTTCCTTTCGCGAGCAAGTATTGAGGACCCTGTCGAAGAGTCGGGGCACAAGGAAGAGCTGGATAGGGCAGCCTATGTGTGTTTTGTGACGCAAGGTAGTTTTCCCGTGACAGCAGACCAGCTTCGGCAGGCTACGGCTAATGACGCGACCCTGACTAAGGTTATTCATTACATACAAAAGGGTTGGCCAAAGCGGGTTAAAGATACAGAAATTAATCCGTATTATCAATGTAGGTTACAACTATCGTACGAAAACGGGTGTGTACTTCGAGGCCATAACATGGTGATCCCCTTTTCCTTGAGGCAACGTGTTTTATCGGAATTGCACAATTCTCACCTCGGTATTGTAAAAACCAAAGCTGAGACTCGATCACGGTTTTGGTTTCCGGGGATTGATGACGAGCTGGAAAAGACGATTGGGGCCTGCGAAGTTTGTTTACAGTTGCGAGCATCACCGCCGCGGGTACCTATGCCACCGTGGCAGTTACCTCCCCGACCAATCTACAGGATACACCTGGATCTGCTGGGTCCGATAAACGGCCGTATGTATCTGGTCATAGTCGATGCCTACTCGAAATGAGTCGAGGTATTCGATATGTGTACCACGACTACTTCTAGTGCGGTAATAGACAAAATGCTCGAGTTTGTGTCTAGGTTCGGAATACCTCACACCTTGGTTTCTGATAATGGCACATCGTTTTGTTCCGAAGAATTCAATAGAGTTTGTAATTTAAATGGTATAAAACATGTGAAGTCGCCTGCATATCATCCGGCTAGTAATGGTCAAGCCGAGACCTATGTGAAAATTGTCACAAAGGCTATTATATCTAGTCTCGCAACAAGTAAAAATTCAAGAGAATGTAAAATAAGTATTCTACAATATCTTTTCAATTATCGTAATTCGATTCATTCTACCACAGGTTCATCACCAGCTCACCTAGTTTTTGGGCACAAATTAAGATCGCGGTTAGACCTAATTAATCCAATACAGCCGACCCCATCGTCTACAAAACTTGCCAATAACGTAAAGTCTAAACAGTGTTCGCAGGTTAAATCTTATGGTGGAAAAATAAAAAAATCGTTTTCAACGGGAGAGTCTGTATTATATAAAAATATTTTAATAATAATAAGTTTTCATGGGCTAAAGGAACAATTGTGAAAAAAATTGGTAACATGTTGTTTATTGTACAAGATGATGTTACTTTAAACCTAGTTCGAAAACATGTAGATCAAATTATTAAAACAAACATTAATTTCAGTAGGGATCTTTATAATAAGCAACGTTGGTATCACTCTTGCGATATAGAAGACCCAGTCATAATAGAAAGAAATGACGTCACACCATTGCCACCAACTCCACGGTCTCTTCCGCAATCACCTGTGTTGGAGCCGTACGCGCAGACGTCTGCGCCACACTTGCCACCAGAAGTGCCATCACCCGTGCCATCACCCGTGCCATCTGAGAGAATGCTCCACGACGGTTCGGGGAGAGATGGGGGCAATGAACAATCTGCGGCATTACACACTCCTACTGCCTCCGAGTATGACCAGACGCCGTCAAAGGTGACGATAACAAGAGGAGTCCGATAACCCGTTTATTCCGAAGACAATTTAATTCCCCTGGTGTTGCGGTTGATCATGGGCGGCGGTAGTCACTTAACATCAGGTGAGCCGCATGCTCGTTTGCCCCCTCTTCTATTTAAAAAAAAAAACAATGACGAGTTCTATGAGGCCGAAGAGAGTAACCAAGACGAGGTTCCGGCACATCGCAGGGTGCTTCGTCAGCGTCAAAAAATTAATTATAAAATATTTTATTAGTCTTAAATATTAGGGGAGGAATGTTATGTATATAAGATGCGACCGCTATTTGAAATATATTGAGTTCACCAGCCACAGCGCGTTTCACTCGTATTCCCCGCAACACAATATTTAACAATAATAAAGACATTTTCTATATGTATATATTCGTAGATAGTATCATCGTCAGTACCTACATGATTTTAAGAATATTATACATAAACATAACATAAACACTCACGCCTGTCACCCAGAGGGGTAGGCAGAGACTACAGACTTCCATTTGGCACGATCCTGACACACCTCTCTCGCCTCCTTCACATCCATATACCTACGCATACATGCTCGTCGGTTAAGAGTGCTCCTAATTTGGCCCGTTTTCAATAAATCGCCAATTTGGTCGATAAATTTTCGCCTAGGACGTCCCTTTCCGACTCTGCCATTCACTTCTGCAACATAAATTTTCTTTGTCATCCTTTCCTCATTCATGCTTTCCACATGACCAAACCACCGAAGCATTCCTTTCTTAATCCTGGTCACAACATCATCTTGCAAACCACACTCTTCTCTTATCACACAATTTCTCACCCTTTCATTCAGATTCAGCCCTAACACACTCCTTAACGACTGCATTTCTACTGCGTTCATTCTACTCTCGTGCTTCTTCTGCCACACCCAACTTTCACTACCATACGTTAACATATGGTAACGTAAGAATATTATATTATTATATATAATCATAGAATACTACATATAATACATATATAGTATTCTATGATATATAATAGACTAGCTGGTACTAGGCATAGGTATCGTTTTAAATTTGTAAGAGTTCTATTGTTTAGTTAGGAATGATAATACATTCATTTAAATTGAATAATATATAGCTTTTAAATAAATTTATTGGAACGATACGAGCGTCACCTAGTGTAAGTTAATTGTATTATACCTATAACCTTCGCGCCATCCAGGTATAATTGTGGCTTGTACCAGCAGATTCTTTTTCACACATGGGCGGGATATAACCGAACTCCACGCGGACGAAGTCACGGGCAAAACTTGTCAAATGTAAGCTATTTCACTACGGGTTGCAGTATAATTACAGTAGATTATTAAAATTATCTTCATATTATATTAAAAATGTCTTTAGTCACTGACTCACAGAATATTATATAGACTATAACGCACAGACCAAACCATCCGACGTAGAAAATTTGGACAGTACATACCTTTCATCCGTAAAGAAGGCATTTTGGAAAATTCAAACCCTAAAAGGGTTAAATAGCGTGTTTCAGTTTGTATGACACTTTTTATTTTACGGGGCGATTCATTCCAATCTTACTGGAAATACTATATAAAATAAATTTGGGTTTTCTTACCTGGCACCGCTACCTGAAACCTTAAGAACCTTCCTTTTTACTTTAAAACAGCTAGAATTTACGTTGTAAATTTAACTGGACTGTCCAAGTGTTGTTATTTTAGCCTCTATAACGCCATAGAATAAATAACAGAACTAACGCAGTAACGTTTCTAATTCAAAGAGTTATTTTAGGTTGTATATACTCCCGACGCATAGTACTTCTTGTAGTTTTAATTTGTTAGGAAATTAAAGTGTTAATTTAGGTAATTTTATCGGCGATTTTTATTGTCACGAACCTCAAGCTCGTAACAATACTTTTGGTTGTTTTACAGGAACCATTAGTCCGGACCTTTGTTAGTGGGTTAAGAACAATTGATTTGTATACATACTTATACTCATACAATCCTAAGGGAAAAATTTAAACACCCAATTTCATTTAATTCATGTACCATTAACAAATTTGTTGAATATTAATAGTAAAACTTCAAAAGTATTTGTTTAGAATAAGGTAATGCCGGCTTAAAGTTCAAGTGGAGCTATGAATTTAGTTATGCTTATTCGTATAAAATATTACTCGGTGTTAAAATTAACTCCGTAGGAATTAATATTATTTTCTACGTGTATTAAAATAACATCTTGACATAATATGCATAAATCAACTTCTGATTGATTATGGTCCCGCGTTGTGAAGTTGTAATAAGCGAAAAGACTTCGTCGCCTCCGATAAAAGTATTATTTTAATTCTTAATTATTAATTAGATTTTGACACATCCTTTGTACAATATTACAGGGCACGTTCAGCTGTGAACTTCTACGGACTGGTAACGAAGGAGTATGGTAAATGATGATAGTCGTCTGAAATAAATTGATTTAAATCAAAAATATTGTAACTGTTAGGACATAGTTATATTCAAAAAGTTACTTTAATCAAAAAGTTACTTTATTTTAAGACACATCGAAAAAGTGGCTCCGGGCTATCCGAGTGAATACATAATTTCTATAAAAACTTAAAAAACGCCGTCTTAAGATCTAAAATTGCGGAGCGCCTGTGACGATTAAGACCGCTTAGAAACTGTCAGAATCTTAAAATATTTTTTTTAAATTATTGATTTCAGTAACCAAAATAATGAGCAAGTAAATTATGAATATTGATGTTATGAATATATTTGAGTGATTCTCAAGCATATGTGACTTTTATGAAAACAATATTCGAGGTCAGTATCGCGCTCTATATTGCAATAAGATTTGCGAACCACATTATATTTTTTTTATCGTTCTTGCTGTCGGTTTTTCAACTTTCGCTCGGTGGAACCTCTTTTCAGTACAATTCAAAAAAAAGTAGGAGGTTCTAAATTCGACCGTATTTCTTACGTGTCAGAACGTTTTTCTGGATGAACCGATTTTGATGATTCTTTTTAATTTGAAAGCTGGTGCTTTTCATGTGGTCTTGTAAAAATTTGATCAAGATGTGACCATTTGTTTTAAGGTTTTCCTTAATAATGCATATTTAATTAATTTCGACAAAATTGATGATGTTCTCATTCTATTTATATTGAAGTCGGTTGAACAAAATTTTTAATTTTACCACTTGTGTATTTTCATAATTACATTTACGTTATGTGTTAAAATGTTTTTTGCAGAGGTTTATTTACAATTTAAAAAAAAACAAGCGTTTTCTAATAATTAACGATCATTTACTTTAAAATACTCATATAATTACACAATAATCTATTTTTAAATAATTATTACTAAGTTACAAAATTAAACATTATATTGATTTCAACTTAAAAGAATATCGTCTACATAAATTATAAATAACCGAGCGTAGCGTAAGTTTTAACAAATGGAGCATCACTCTCGCAGGAATTCCTGAAAAAGAAAAAAAAACATTTTAACATATATGTCAATTGTCATAGTTATTGAAAAAGTTTAGTCCACTCTAAATTATAACATACTTTCATTCAAGTTTTTCAACAGTTTGTGGTGCCACCTTGGTCGAGCCGACCCATTCCTGCTACGACCACAATATAACTGCAATATGGCTCTACCATATAACTACCACTAAGTAAATATGTCGTAATGAATTCCACTTTTTATACTAAACGTGTAGAAAAGTAGAATAGATAACGAAATATTTACTGTTTAGAATATTTTTGTTTCGTGTTAGCAATTCGTAGGACTACTACTACTACTATATCAGTTAAAAATATGCTAGTCAATTATATAAATAACAGATAACTGAAGCAACAGTAGCCTAATGGCAAGGCACGGACAGCGAACTCAAAAAGGTCGTGGGTTCGAATCCGCAATTCGACTACTGGCGTGAACCACTCGTAACACAAGCAATTTAAGCTTACCACGAGTGGTTAAGGGGAATATTAGTAATGTTTATAGCATTGTTAATATTCTTTATTTTTTAAAACTTTGTCTTAAATAACAACGTAGCTGATGAATGAGAATGAAGTCGTGTTTTAGGGCGCGTTATACATTTTTTTTAAAACAATGTTTTTGATAACATTTTTTATCAGAATGATAACGTATGTATACCATAATTTTATAATAGTATATAATCATATAATTTTAATGGCATTATAGCTTGATAAGTGTTGGAGAACCTAATAAATAAATAAAAAATAAAAATAAGATAAAGTAATTTTAAGCTAGTAAATTTTACTTTTCTGTTCCTGTTTACATAAGATTAACTTTCCATTTATATATTCGTAGATCCAAGATTATTTATTTTTTATGTATTGTATAAAATCATAATATTAATATTCAATAGAGATTGTAAAATGTCGTTTTCTTTCCGTATTTTATATCTGGTAGAGCCGTAGCTGTAGCACGAATGGCTTGGCAAGACCAGGGAAGGCAGAATACCAGCGTTAAATAGCAAATTAATGCGCTGTATTTGGTATAGTGAGTGTGAAGAACCAGAAACTCTTTTCACTAGTAACGAGGCATTTCGTGTTGTAAAGACGCATCTGTATTTTGATTCTTAATAGAGGGTGGATGTAGATGTTTATGCGCCACAGCATCGACTTACTATCAGTTGCACTTTGTCTTGTTTTTAAATCCTTATTCTAAAAAAATCATGTAATTGCTTAAGTCAATTAAAGAAAAGAAAAGTTAGTAAAGGAGATGAACTTGATTCCATACAAGCTTAGGCCCGGCGTGAACAAAGTTCAAATATGTCTTATTTTGAAGATTTAAATATTTGATAAGTATATAAATAAATCATATTATTGCAGGGCCTGGGGTTTTATTTTAATTTATAATTTATGATTTGTAGGTTATGTACTAAAATCCTAAATTAAATGAAGATATGGCTTAAAAGACAAGTATCCAAGTAATTTAAAAAAAATGGTTCGTTTTTGCTAAAGTAAAAGTATTAGCTTCCGTTTTTTCAGTTTATAAAACGTTTTTATGATTATTCCAAGCACAACAGATATAAAAACCATTTAATTATGCTTATAATTTATTGTTTTATTACCTACATATTTTTGTATAACTGTTCAGAACGATGTCAAGCACCCAATTTCGTTCATCTCTTTTACAAAATTGATTTTTAAAAAGCATGATTTCAGTGACCTAGCCTTAACTAAGTTACTTAAGTTATTGTTTCCTAAGGTAGAGCCTAGGTAGTCCAGACTCTACCCTAGGAGAGTGATAGATGCAATTAAGCGACGCGACATAGTATGAGAATTATATTCTCATACTATGTCACGCCCTAAGTTAAAAAGTTGTACCTACGCTTATCTTGATCTATGTTGTCGAGATAATCAATTTATAACAGTAGTTATAATGACCTCCAGACAAAACCAACGGAGGCCAGTTTCAACGTAGTTTAGACATCTGCGTAGGACAAGTTTATAGTGATCGTGTGTATGCACAAGCACAAGTGCATTTTTCCCTCACTCCCTTTATTCACTGATAGTACGATGGGACAACCCACCACCTCCCATGGCCCCACCAACCTTGCAGTTATACGGGCCGAATCACGAGAGATGCACGCGGTACTTGCTCAGGGCTCTTTCCCGCGCGCACTTTCGTGACTCTCTAAAAGTTATTTAATCTACTCCTTGTCCCATTTTTCCACTCTCCTTTTCTGGGCTGAACATACAAAGAACGCCCTCGGTTCCGGGCTGTTCATCACCTGAATGTTTTTGTTTCTTTTTTCTCCAAGGCAGTCCTCCTTACGTGCCATCCGTGCGCAAACTCGCGCAGCCGACCAAAGTTCTCCTGCCCGTCAACAATTTCCGGGTAATAAACCGGGCAAATCTTTCCGCGTAATATTCCATCCATCACCTTACACCGCAAGTCGTCATAGAGCATGCACTCCCACAGAACGTAGTGTCTATCCACGTAGGCTGCTCCACACTCACACATACTCGATTCAGCCAGTATCATAACATACAGAGTACGATGGGACAGCAAACCGACACGTCTGAAGGGGGTGATATACCGCATACTTACCTTCTTCTTCATCTGCGCTGTTACTGCGAATTTTTTTTAAATGGCCGACCCGGGATTCGAACCCAGGACCCATGATTAGCATCGGGTTTACGTCCACTATAGTCTGCATTCAAACATGATGACAGTAGAACAGTACCGACCAGATAAGAATGTATTCTCTATTAACTTAATTTATCGTACTTAGATGTAAAGACCGCATGTGGATGCAAAGATTAATATTTGATATTTTCGTATCGTGTTGCATGCACCAACTCTCACACTCCTCGGTGCGCTCAATATTCACGTAATATACTAACTGTTCCCCGCGACTTCGCCCGCGTGTAATTTATTACCATTTGATTTCATGGGTTTGCAATCTCTTGCGCGAACCCTGATTATTTCTCTAAAATAATAATAGTCTCTTTAGTTACTCTTATCCTATGACATCAGCTATCTGCCAGATAAAGTCCCATCAAAATCGAACCGGTTAGTTAATGTTTTTCCAAAGGCTAGTTGTTACCATGAACTTACGATATTCTTTAGATTACTCTTAAGATTAAAAAAATAAACATTAAATAAAAGTAAAAACTAATCACAAAAGCAAAAGGTATAAAATAATTTTCACATAAACAGCTTCTGAAGTTGGAGCTTAATTCTTCAATACACTGGATGTTATTACAAAACCTGGTTTATTGATAGTCTCGGGTTGAAAGAAGACGCTTTATCACCAAACGGGTCTTCATCACCGTCACATATATAAATAAATAATAAATTTAATACAGGTTCTTTTAAGTTGTAAGTTCAAATGTATAAATAATGATATTCCCATATGAGAGTTTTTGTTTGAAATTATTCCAAATTGAATGTGGTTTATGGGCAACAACTTTTTTGCTTAACGATTGACCCTTAAGAATGTGTGTGCGCGCAGTAAATCAGTCAAAATAATGCATAACCTCGCATTTTAAATTTAAAACATAAAAAGGACAGAACGTTTGAGTTTCTTTTTAACAAATTTTTCGTTACCATTTCCTTATATTACTTATTTTGAACCTTCTCTGCAAATTTGGCCAGTTATTGCATAATAACCCTGTATATATCAGCAAAATACAACTGACTGACTCACTCATCACGAGATCTCTAAAATTATGCACCCGATTGACTTAAAATTTAGTATAGTTACTCATTTCGCAATGTAGACGCTCACTAGGAGCGAATTTTATAAAATAGAATAGAATAGAATTTATATATTCATACATTTTTATTTATTATTCACAAAATTACAATAAAAAATAATTTTTTTGTTCTTTTTTTTATAGAAGAAGGGGCAAACGAGCATGCGGCTCACCTGATGTTAAGTGACTACCGCCGCCCATGATCAACCGCAACACCAGGGGAATTGCAGGTGCGTTGCCGGCCCTTTAGAAAGGAGTAAGCTCTTTTCTTGAAGGTCCCCAGGTCTTATCGGTCCGGAAAAATCGCCGGTGGTAAACTATTCCACAGAAAGGTTGTACGCGGAAGAAACCAGATGGTGTGGATGGATCCTTCCCGCGTTTACGAAATTTGGCGGCTGGGATTAATCCGAACAATTCCTCAGAGCACTCTCCATGGTATATGCGAAAGAAAATGCAAAGAGATGCAACATCTCTTCGCAGTGCCAGTGAATCGAGCCGATCGGAAAGCACTCGGTCGTCGACGATTCGAGCCGCTCTGCGCTAGATGTGGTCAAGTGGAAGGAGCTGGTACTGGGAAGCCCCAGCCCAGAGATGGGAACAGTATTCCATGTGCGGCCGAACCTGCGCCTTGTAAAGTTGCAGGCGGTGTGCCGGCAAGAAATACTGTCCCGCTCTGCTGAGCACGCCAAGCTTTTTAGAGGTCAATTTGGCCTTCTCTTCCAAGTGACCACGAAACTGCACGTCACTCGATATGTCGACGCCGAGGATTCCGATACTGGCAACAAGGGGAGTGCCTTGAAACTGAGGAGATACGACAAAGGGGTTCTTTTTAGCGGTTAACGCGCAAACTTGTGTCTTCTGGGGGTTAAACTGGACTAGATTTAGTCGCCCCCAATCCGAGACTGTTCAGCAAAGACTCGACTTCGGACACAAGTTTATCCCGGCACTCGGAGACTTCAAACCGGTGTAAAGAGCATCATCAGTGCTGTCATCTGCATAGCAATAAATGTTACGGGTTTGCAACATATCATTGATATGCAGAAGAAACAGCGTTGGCGATAGCACGCAGCCTTGTGGAACACCAGCATTAATAGTCTTGCGATCGGAGCTTGCACCGTCTACAACGATCTTGATTTATTTTGTATTCTGTGCATAGCACGTTATATTCTCTATTATATATATATATATATATATATATATATATATATATATATATATTTGACTATTATATGACTTATTTTAGCGTCTGAAATATAATATGGTGTTTTGTGTAAGTGGAATAGAAGCTATACGCGAAAGTATTTGTAAAATATAACTGATAGGCAAAATTTCTGAATATTGAACAAAATACATAAAAACAATTCATGCTACGGCATTTGCGTAAAACTAAAAATAAATGATATTATTTTAAACAGCGCGGCGTAGCCTGCCATCGCAAATTAATGAAAATTGTAAGCGCGAGCGAGACGCATGCACATTTCTTTCGTTAGGTATTAGTCGTTTTTATGTACATTCCAGGTTTTTTTGGATTGACACATCGTTGCAGCCAACATTTAGAATTAGGCGTAATCAAAAAGACTAGCTACAATACTTGCTTTCGCAATGCTAGCAGCTCTTCAGAATCTTAGAGAGGGAGGGGTGGGGATTGAAGAGAGGAATTTAGAAGAGCATTAAGCGTCTTTATTTAATAGCGAATAAAATTCGAAGGAACTGCTAGAATATATTTGTAGAAATGTTGAATTTAGAAGTAAAAAAAGTAAAGTAATAGCATATTACTAAAATCATATACAGGGTTATTTTGGACTAACCAGCCAAATTTGAAGCGTTGTCAGCCGTGAGGACTAAGATGGAATACCTCTTTTCCAGTAAAAAGGGTCTCCGGTTGTCTACACTCACCACACAAAACACAGTAGCATTAAGCCGCTATTTACTCGTGTTTTTTGTGTTTTTTAATCTTGTTTCTAGATAATGCGCGTTGCCATTTACGAATGCAGGTTACTGACGTTCAGTCGGAATGACGTTACGATGCGTTGATTAAAACTGCTCATTGTGCACGTTGTAAATTCCAACACGGGTAAATATCGACTCGTCGCACCGTCCAAGTTTTCACTAGACAAGACATAAAATCTCGCCATTGCTTGGTACTCGGTATTAGAATATTAGTTCATGTTTACGATAAATATCAGTGGGCGGCCGATACACACGCGGAAACATAAACAATACGACATCACTCTATAGCTACTCGCAGGTGACTGAAATGAGAGTGCGGGCGGCCTTACACCTGCGACCCTGGGAAAAGACAAGCACAATTACATTGTTTTATTGCCGCTAGTAAATTAGGGTGCATATGATTTGAATTTCGGTAGTTTTTAATTAATTAATTAATTTAGTTCAAATTTTTTGTTTTTATCTTTTTAGTATGGAATGTTTGCTTTAAATTAGTAGTATTTATTTATAGATCAACTTCATAATATGTTAATGAATTTAAACAAATTGTAAAATATCATTGCCACAGGCTTCTACTACGTTCACATGTTACAATCTATTTTTTTCCAGACAGTCGTCCAAAAAGTTCTCCAAAAGTCATCCAGCATATAAACGTTGATATCGCATAAGCGTTACATTAATTAGTTAAGCCTCTGTGTTCTTAAGCAAATATGGCTGCGACTTAGATTTCTCTCAAAGATCCGTAAGATGGTACCCAGGTAATTTGTTGATAAAAATTTCCCCTTAGTTTTTGTCAAAAGAATTTCTAAAACTTGCAAAATATTAAAAAAAATCAAAGCTTAAATAGGAAAACGAACAGCAAAATAATAAAAACGGTGTATGTTATTTGCATATATTTCGAATAACTTATACTAAATATCAACAAGAGACGTTATTATTATTTTCATGGTTGCACCCACGGGTAGACAGGCAGGCCATGGGGTATTAAAATAATAGCATATTAAAGAAAATCGGTCATAAACTTTAAGTACATCCATGAATTCATGATTATAAAATATTTAAAATAACAGTAGAAAATATATAATTATGCAAATATATCATAGCAAAACAAATTATAAACATAACTTTTTAAACCTTAAATACTAAATATTGTCATGCGATGTAAATCAAATGGCATGAAATACTGGCTTGAAACACGAAAAATTGCTGTGCAAACTAATAAAGTCAAACAAACTACTTTTGCTTTTGTTACACGCATTTAGTTTCAAAATTTGGAGTACTTACTCGTCCTCCCATGGACATATGTCATTCCGCTGCTTACGCTCACTGATAACGCCTTTATTCTCACACTTAACAATATTTGATTCTGAGACTGACGACAGTTCGTCTTTATGAGCAATTTTTTTCATGGCGTCAGACTCAGACGCCGCTTTGCATTCTGTTGAGACTCGTTGCGGGGGCGCCAAAGGCACTTTGTCTACGGTGTCTTCGTCGACGCCGATGTCTTCGCTAACCGCGAGCGGTGCCACGGCCACCGGCGGCCGGACCACCGGCGCCTCAACCGTTGCCCTCACACACACAGTCATGCACGTGCCACTCGGTGACTCATCAATTGCAGTGTGTGAAGTATACTCCATCGGCTTTAACGTTTGCTCTTTGGCAGAGTCTTTCTCTGGTGGGTGTCCCACAACTTCCTGTGGTTCACTCAGTGTACCCACGGGGCAAAATATTTCTACTGAATTCATCGCCTCGTGCTTATCGGATACACTCACTGGAAGATCGCCGATTTTGAAACTTATATCTTTATATGAGGCCGGACTGCTTTCTTTAGTCGTTGATTGTTCTCGGGACAGCATTTTTTGCACCGATACGACATCGTCCTGCGACGACTTCGTAGCATCGGAGTCTTTTATATCCGCACCGGGGACGTCGGACTTTTCGTGTGACTCCATCGTCGGCGCTACGGCTGACAATTCGTTCGTTTGCACATTAACATCTACATTCAAAACGTCAGTTCTCGTATCACAACTAGGTATAGAAGTAGAGATTGTTTTCACAAGAGCGAGAGCACACCGATCGTCGATCGATTTGAAGTTGGCAAGAGAGGGTTCCGTCGGTGTGACGTCTGCCGAAGCGAAAACCGAGGAAGGTTCTTCCGACGGCGCGACCGAGCGGCGTTCTTCGGGTGAGCCGGTTTCGGGTGGGGAACCGGCAGATTCCTCGTCTGGCGCCGAGCTGACACTGATGGTGGGCGTTGGGTGCGGCGGGGCGGGAGGCACAGGGGGTGCGGGAGGCACGGCGGACGCGGCGGGTTGGGCGCGCGGTGGGCGCGGCGAGTGCGGCGGGGACGCGAGCGGCGCCAGGTGGCGCGGCTCCACCGCGGACAGGCGGCGCAGCGGCGGCGGAGCACCGCGCAGCCCGCCGTCTAAAGTACTCTGTTGCGGGAGGCGCCGTGTGCGTTCCGCGACTGCCACCGCCGAGCTCACGTCCGAAGAAGAACTGCCCGAATCCGCAGCAGAGTCCTGACGCCTCCTACTTGCACCGCCGTACGCACCTTCACGCGATGAACATTCCCACGGAAGGACGTCCGCAGTATCGTCTTCAAGGGGATCCCTGAAATATATAGAAAAGTTATGCTTATTTAACGTTCGCTTTGAATATCCAACACAAATCACACAACACAACACAGTTTTAAATTAACTTGATCGCCTTTTAAAACAAATTTTGTGGACCTTACTACAAGCAACTAAAAGACAGTTTCTTTTTCTTTTTATCTAAATTGATGAAGAGTAAAATTCCCATCTAGTGTAATGAGTGTACAAATAGTCGACTTAGTGAAATTAGGTATATTTAAGGCTTTCGACGGGTGACTGATCAAGCTTTTACATGACAGACGTAAATGTACAAACCAGCGACATGGAGCAGCGTCAAAAGAGCGAATTTGGTGCTGTAATGACTAATTCGTCTGTCAAATGTAAGTATAAAGACATCTACCGATAGCATACTTTATAATTTTATAAATAAAAATAAATAAAATGTAAAGAACACTCGTGTTTTAAAAATCTATAAAAGCAAATGTTCACAATAGTTCCTTCAACAAAAATAACTAAAAAAAAAAGATGCAGCTACACAAATTTTATCATTTTTGTCAATACAGCTTAATATGGCAGAGCCCCACGCTTGAGGCCACGGTGCACCTATATTATGGTTGTAGCACGAATGGTTTAGCACGATTGGGAAATTGACCGCTTTCTCACAGAATAGCCACTTTTACCAGCCAATTAGTAATTTTTATTTAATTTTAATTTTAATTGGTATTTTAGCCAATTACCACCTTGAAATAGCAGCTATAATGATGTTGCGTTTCGTATCTCTACGCTCACCGTTTAGAGAACCGGACACCTTTTTCACTGGAAACGAGGCTTTACATCTTAGTGTGACACAAGGGTGACAGTGCATTTGCATTTTGATTCTTCATCGAAGATAGATTTTGATGTATATGGGCTACATCATCCACATATTATCTGGTGAACTGTGTGCTCAACTGTCACCCTCATTCTTTAAAAAAACATGCGTACTGACGGACCAGGTCACGCAGTCTTTGCAAAAAGCTAAGGAAACATGCGAACATTGAAATTGCTAACTAAAAGGGTATGTCGCAAAAGTTAAACTGCGAGTGGCTGTGCGGCGGCAGGTCGGGCCACGTTATCTTTATAAAAAGGTACGGTATTATACAAACATTGAAATGTGGTCACCTTAAGGGGATGTCACATAAGCTGGACTGCGAGTAGCTATGTAGTGGCGGGTCGGGCTACGTAGTCTTTATAAAAAGGTAAGATAATACAAACATTTTAAGACGGTCACCTGAAGGGTATGTCGCACAAGTTGGACTGCGAGTGGCTGTGCGGCGGCGGGTCGGGGGCGCGCGGTGGCTGCGCTGCGCACACGGCCAGCTCGTGCGCGGAGCCCGACAGCGAGCGGTCCGAGCCACGCCGCCGCGTCAGCCCCGCACTACCAGCGCCCCCCGTGCCACCCGTCGAACCCGGCTTCTTCTTCACTTGCCCACCGAAGTTGAAGAACCTGAACGAACGAAAAAACTGGAGTTTACGTTATTTCACAATATGTATTATAACTGACGTATCTTGGCGCAGGAGGCTGCACAATGACTTTTTTTAGGAACAAAATAGTGGCATGGGGTGACGTACGGGGGGCGGTGGTCTAGGCTAGAGATTGACCATATGCAAACACAATCGACCTTTCATTAAATCAAATATCGCAATCGATTAGTTTTATTTAGAAGTTATTGATTTTTGTTTATATAAGATACTAAACGAAATAGATATACAAATATAGTGAATTTTGTCGCTAATAAACGAGACTTCGACTTTATTAAAAAAAAAATATTTTCTCAGTCGAAAGACATGATTTCCTTAAATATCAGTTATCTTTTTACGTCTAATTAATAACGATTGTTTGAAAAGATTTAAAACCTCCTTACAAAATTGAAAATAAATATATTTTATGGCTTGATTTCAATCGATTTGAATAAAAATCAATTAAACAACACCCTCGGGCACGCGTATTGGACATCCCTTTTTGGATATTTCGTAAAGCTTCGTGCTTATTCGGCAATTCTCGGTACACGGTAATATGTCTCAGTCACACGTCCGCATTGGTGTCGTGTTCGTGTCGCTTTCTCTGTCTTGAGCACAGTCGGTTACAAAAATTTTCGTTGTTATTGTTGTTATTTGTTAAATTTGTTTATTTGTTTTATTTGCAAGTGGCACTTAAATTATTCGCCAAATATGCCACCAAAACATAATAGTGTGTTAAATCGCAGGCGACAAAAATTATTAACGATTTAACGTAGTATATGATAAAAAAAGAATAAGGCGTAAAAGATGTAGATAAAGTTTATTTAAGAGTTGCTAACGCAACTTGTGTGTTCCAACCACTGACCTCTATATATACAAGTACACTGGACTGGCTATACCATAGAAAATGACTGTGCCAATTTGAAGCGCCGCTAAAGGATGTCTTGAAAAATAAAATTGACATAATATGCCAAAGTTTGTTGTCATATTTAAAATGTCTTATTTAATAAATCTGTATTTTTAAATTTTAAACTAAAAACGAAAGTATTTTATGTTGTTTAATTGTGCATAATATTAGTTACATAATAAGGATTATTTTTATTAATAATGAGAGTGTGCGTAATCTGTAAAACTCGTTACCAAAAGGGAAGTGGTATAACAATTCACAAGTAAGTGAATTTGCAGCAAATATTAAACAAATTAAAAATATTTGATAATGTAAGTACTTAGAAATTAGTTACTAATCTTAATATCATACTCGTATATACCAACATCTTTGGCTGTATATTACTGAGTTTTGATAAACAATAAAATTTTAACAGGGTTGTCGAGTTCCTTGTCTATAAGACTTATCGATGTTCTTTCCTACCCATATATGTTAACAAACAAAGTCGCCAACAACAGACGATTACCAAATGTTTATTAATTAACAGGTTTCCAACTGAACCTAGACTAAAATTATGGCTTAAAAGCATAAATATTGTGAATTGGCGTCCGAAACAAAATGATCATATTTGTTCCAAACATTTCACAGACGACTGTTTTATTAGACATGAGAACTGCACCACTTTGAAAAAGTGCACTATACCGACTATATTTTCTGGTAGTACCAGTACCAGTAAGTATAAAAGTATTAGATTATTATTTCTAATGTATTTTTTTATTTCTTCTTTCCTCATTTTCCACCAAACTCAAGGGCCATAGCCAAGTGTCGAAAGGTCGCCTGATGATGTCGAGTCACGTTGAATGTGTTTTAGTGGGCTGAAAAAAAACTGTATCGGTGACTGATCTTTGCTGCTGGTAATAAGAAGTTGTTTAGTTTGTTGTTTCCTCGCTTGAAGGCTAAGTATAGCCATTCAGAGAGGACACGTAGCCAGCATTCTTGGGACGATACCACGGAAAGTAGGACTGTATGATAATTTCAGTTATTTTTTCTTAATATTGTTATTTTAATTTCGAAAATCACGTTGTAAATAACTGATAACTATATAATTCAAAGTTTATATTATTTTATATTATCTTGCTAGCTCGTATCCGGCGCATTGCTGCTACAGAAGAAATAATTGAGGAAATATCGTTATAAATGTGGAACAGTTACATTGTATAATTAGGAATGATAATAAAATCATTGAAATAGAATGATATATAACTTTCTAAGACTTTCAAATAAGTAGTCAGTATAATACGCACGCCAACTAATGTCAGTTAATTGTACCATGCGTATAACCTTCCACAAGTGCAACCAATAAGTTGACTAAGTTTTACCGCAATCTGATGAACGGTATAGCATCGTAGAAAGTACGAACAAACATAAATTTTTATATAGTAGAAAATATTTTACTGTTTATAGACAGCCCTGTAGTTGATTAGAATAGGCGTTATTATAGCAGCCGATTTGTTTTTTATAATACTAGAACTAAATGAACGGTTGACAATAAATTATTTTAGAAATTATGTTTTTATTTTTATTTTGTGTAGATAGTTTAATCTTAATAATTATTTAGTTGAATGGTCTAAGAGCTACGATGGCTATCTGAGTACAGAACTAGAGTACAAAACTAATCCAACTGTAGAGATGTGTAAGACAGGGTGACATAATATCCCCGAAATACTTTACCGCTGCATTGGAAGACGTTTTCAAGCTACTGGACTGGAAAGGATACGGTATTAACGTCAATGGCGTGTACGTCACTTACCATCGATTTGCCGACAATATAGTCCTTATGGCAGAATCGTTGGAGGACCTACGCCCTATGTTCAATGACCTCAATAGTGTCTCCAAACGGATAGGTCTTAGGATGAACATGGACAAAAAAAAGTCATGTGTAATGTCCATGTCACACCTATGCCGGTGGTTTTTGGGCGCACTTAGCTGAAGTTGTTGACGAATATTTTACTTGGGACAAATAGTCTGACTAGGTAAGCGAAACTTCGACCGACAGGTCAATCGACGGATTCAACTCGGCTGGGCAGCGTTCGGGAGATTACAACACATCTTCTCGTCAGAAATACCTCAAAACTAGATTGTACAACCAGTGCGTGTTACCAGTGACCTATGGATCTGAGACGAGGTCTTTCACTGCTGGCCGTATGAGGAAGCTTGAAGTCGCTCAGCGAGCTATGAAAAGGGCTATGCTCAGGGGTTCCAACTTAGGAATGAGGATATTTGCAGCAGAACCAGAGTGACCGACATCGCCCAATGGATTAGTAAGCTGAAGTGGCAATTGACCGGCCATATAGCTCAAAGAACCGAATACCGATGGGGAAAAAAAGGTTCTCGAAAGGCAGCCTCGTACCGGCAGGTGAAGTGTAGGACGTTCCCCCTCTAGATGGAGTCAAAACCTGGTAAGATATGCAGCAAGTTGATGGATGCAGGTGGCTCAGGACAGTGCTTTGTGGCATTCCTTGGGGGAGGCCTATGTTCAGCAGTGGACTTGTGAAGGGGTTTAATGATGATTAATGATAATGGCATTACTTAATATGATACATAAATAGAATGGACGGTACGAGTAGAGTCCATCTATCCATAGAGTCCATTCTATTTAGGCATAGGTAGGGTATAGAATTTTTATCGATATAATTTGGTACACTGTCTCATCCCTATTATTAGTTCCGTGGACGTGCACTTCTGCTGTCAGCGCCAAAATGGCGGAAATCAAATCGCTTCATCATGTCACGGTGTATAGCCAGTCCAGCGTACTTGTATATATAGAGGTCAGTGGTTCCAACGCATAGTACAGCGGATCGCAACTGAAGGCAATATTTCGGGCTTACTTTCGGTATTTCGCACGCCTGGTAAAAAAAGGTCTAAATCAAAACCTATTACTGATATAGATAATTTTGACCAAGGAGTAATAAAAAGATGCATACACAACCTCCACAAAACTGAAAAAAAAAATGCCGACCATTAACAAATTACTAGCGAAAATCAAACGGGATAAAAATTTTAAGGCGCTAAAACGAGCTTAAAGACAATTGTCAAAAACTTGGGTTTCAAGTGGCGAAAGACCGAAACCAATAGAATGGTTCTTATAGGGAAGACCGATATTCGCCTGAGGAGTATCTTGTACTTGAAGGCAAGAAAAAAATACAGGGATGAAGGGCGACCAATTGTATTCACTGACGAGTCTTATGTCCACTCATTACATACAAAAGGTAAGGCGTGGTCAGATGGTTCCGCTCAAGAATTAAAGCGCCAGATATCAAAAGGTCAGCGGATAGTGATGGTACACACTGGGTCAGAACCAGGGTTTGTTCCGAAAGCCCTACTAATGTTCAAATCTGGGATCAAAACCGGAGACTATCATGATGACACGAATTTCACAAATTATGGGAAGTGGTTACGGACCCAACTGATTCCAAATTCGAGCCCTAACTCGGTGGTGGTTATCGATAATGCTCCATACCACAGCAAATTTATGAATCCTGCCCCTATATCTAATGACGTTATTCATCATTAATACGCATTCAGATTCGGAAAGTGAGTCATGCCAAGTACCTCACATGGTACGCAAGGAGCGACTTTATGTTAGAGATTTCCTCCCTCAGCGGCAGTGATTAAATATTAAGAAGTGTAAATATATAAAAAGTATTCAATGTAAATAATAACGTGTGTTTGTGAGAAAAATCTGCCACTATCGAAAGATAAGGTATCGAAATTGAATCCATAATTTATATGTTATTGTTGTAGCTTTCTGTCTCCAAAGTTAGGGAAATTTTATTCGTACATTGGTATATTAAAATAAATTACAATAACGGTTTTCTCCACGGGTGTACATGCGCCAAAGTTCGCAGAGCCTATGTTCAGACTCGCCAAGATACTTCGGCCGTATTTTAACTAGCAGTCCACCTAATGTTAAGTGTATCAATACTTGATTAATTACAATGTAAATGCGTTGTTAGGAAAATACTATATCTAGCATGAATATGTAAACTCGATCGAAGAAGGACTACGTTTAAATTGATTATCGACGCGAAGTAGTACCAAAATGCTACTGTATTTCGTATGGTGAGTGGCAAGAACCGAATATCCCTTTAACTGGCAGCAAATCATTATATTTTAGTCGAGGGCGACAACACATCTCATTTTTTATTCTTAAGCAAGAATAGATGTGGGTGACTATAGGCCACAGTATTCGCTAATCATCAATGAGAAATATGCTCATTTGACATCCCTATTTCCATAAAAAATGGTTACTAGCCGGCGTCCCAGGACCAGATTAGATCCAGACATAATTCCATAAACCTTCTACATTTGCAAAAAAATGTTTTAAAAAGGTCGATATCATTTTTTTCACCTCTTGTTCGCACAAATTGGATTGTACACTTTTTATTTAGTTATTTTTCATCCTGAGAGATATCTCGAAAGTAATTTTTAGCTGAATTCTGCTAGCGATGAGGCATCACAATTACAAAAATTTGGAAAGCCGCCGTTTTCGATTAGTTGGTGTACGTGCGTTTAAGAACTGCTTTTTGAAAGAAATTCTGCTGGACGCTATTTATTAAGCAAACTAATTTTGTTACTATCTTTAAGGGCCAAAGTACACACGATAATTTTAGCATAGATGTTCAGCAATTTAGTTGCTTTTCAATTACCAGCTAGCGTTATTCATTATTTCATATATTATGAACAGACGAAGGAAACACATTTTGAAATGAACACAATTTTTCAAAATCTTTTGTTATATCTGTAGTGACACCCAGAGGCGCACTAATCGAAAATAGCGCCTAAGGTATGCATCAACCTAGCACCCCCTCGTAAATTATCTTAAATAAAACAGTCGTGAATCTAACAAAACATATTTGTTTTCTATTTTACAACGAAAGAAAGTCTGTGAAACTGTCACACTTACAATTGCATCTTCTTAGCCTCCTGCGACAACATATCGATGATGTTTTTGAAATCATTTTTTCCGTTCCGTCTTGCTCTACACTGAGCAAAACTAGGCCGTTGCTCTACACTGAGCAAAACTAGGCCGTATAACTTTTCTTGACCCATTTCGTTCATTCATTAGTTCTTTACAGCATATCAATCCATAGCTGAACATATATACGTCCCAATGATATGTAGCTCTCCAATACTAAAGTTAATAATTTTAACTTACTGAGATATTCCTCACAACTTGCGATGAATACTACAATTGTAAGCAAAATTTGAATGAAAATGCGCAGTTTCCGCTTTCATCCTCGCACTGCTCAATAAATTCAAGTAGACATTTCTTCATATATCTGTCTTTGTTTTGACGTTTTTACCTGTAGATTAGCATCTGAAAATTAAATATTTTTTCGTTCCCCGTTAGCATCGTAACCATAGAAGTTTCCAAATTCTTCACATTTATTTTAAATCGTTACAGTCGTTAATGCTGTATCACAATGTTTTAGTGTCAAGTTTATACTTTTAAACCTTTCACTCATTTTACACACAATGGGATCTAGCGTTCGTTTCTTTACACGTTCTATTTTTTTTCTTCAACGGTCAACCCAGCGCCCGAGGCACATGTTTCGCTTTCGATATTTTTCCGTGATTACATCCCATTCCTGGCAAAGATTGAATCCTCATTAACTAACCTCTGTTTCAATAGTATTAAAGGACTTGTAAGTTCAAGACAGAATTATGAAAATTCATTCGCTTATTCTTTGGTGAGCTTCCAGTCATCACATTTTGGTATTGTCTTAAAATTGTGAATCAAATAAAAAAATAAGATAAAACAAATTATTTATTATAAGTCGCTTTTAAACCATTTTGGCACACAAAATTACAAGTTGCATTTAAAATTCTGCATTTAAGAACTGTTCAAACAATCGATTGTGTAAAAATGCCACTTCAATAATTTCAGTAACTATTTATTAGCATCGACTGTATGCAAAATATTAATTTAGCTTATGTATTTTTGTTACACCTAGGGAACAAGACTTAATAAAATCTACCTTGGTTTCCATTTTTTTTGAACTATTAAACTAGAAATTCAATTTTCTTACCAAGCGCAAAACGTGGGTCTGGCCTTAGAAATTTTCCGTGTAAACATATTTTATTTTTAATATTGTCAATTTAAATTATTATCCATGAATTATTTAAATATTATTAGAATTAATTATAGTTTAGTTTTTTTTCCTTACTGTCAATTTATGTCACAATGTGTGGACAATATTATAATGACAATTTGTGAATACTTCGTCTCTTCGTGCAAAGTCGCAAGTACATCGCTTCGCTGTCGGTAAACTCTCGCACTTCAAAGCGTTTTATCGAGATGGATTTCGCTTGTGCTTGTGGGCAAGCATCGTGCGTAGCGGATGTGTTGAAGTAAATTAGGGTTTGACGACATATTTAATCGATCAATAACAGATTTTTGATTAATGTAATGAGAAGATTTATAAACGTTTTTTATTAGATATTTTGAATATAATATTGTAATGCTTGTCATATATATTCCTTATAGAGCGACCAAGCTTGAACGCTTGTGTTAATATCGCGATAAATTTTACAAAGTACACGTCAGTGTAGCCACACATAAGAGTGCAAATAAACGTACATTATCTACTCCCAAATGTGGTAGCCGGTTACTCCTTACATAAACGCCGTACGGAATATTTACAGATTAGGCGAAGTTGTATTTACGCATATAACTTTATTGCGATTTCCGTGGTCTAGGCATTAGCGAAGGTGTAGAATAGTAGGCGCTTGGCGCAAGTGCGTGCACTACTTTTACATTACCTCTCACTTATTCGCAAAGCGCGGGAATTACGGACTGGATTGTTTGATATGAAATGATTTAGGTATTATGGTGTATCTTAATTTTCAATTTTATAATTGGTGATTTTGCGCCCCCGTTTGAAAGGCGCCCGGGTCATGTGCCCAATTTGCCCCACCATAGTTACGCGTCTAATGACACCACGATCAAACGCAGCAGCTCTAACGCGTTGCAGCATATGCGCGATTTTAATACAGCAATCGAAGACAGTAAAGTCGTCAAAACGTGTAGCAGCCGTGAAATTGCCGATCGCTGATGCTATAAATATTTAGTGTGCTTTTATTTTTTATGTATTTTTTTATTAAATTAGTGAATTGAAGTAATCGATGTTCCATAGTGACCTAACTTACTTTGCTTTTTTCTGATGTACGTTCCTGCCCTCAGTGAGCAGACGTTGGAAGTGATCCGAGCGAATGAAGCGCGGGTAGCAGTCTTTCTTGAGGAGCAGGCTGTACACGTGGTCGGCGGCGTGGTCAAAGGCGTAGCGTGACCCGCTGCGCAGGCCCTCTGTGACGCGCTCCGCCGTCGCACCGTCGATGTTGATCTCGCACGGTGCGCCTGGCTTTAGGAACTCCCTAAAAGATTCAAAGTTATTTGTATCACGTGTATATAATTAATTTTAAATTCACAAAATTAAAGCATTAATTGTGCTAGAATATGAATATAGAAATATACAATAGTTTTGACTTTTATAGGTTGTTTTTGTCATCAATGCACACATGTCAATGCTGCTTGTGACAGAAATAGGTAAGAGAATGTTAGTAGTGGATGTTCGTAATTTATACAACTTTTTTTTCAAAAACTTTTTACCCTGAAAGTAATAACACTAAGACACTAATAAAGACACTAAAAGAATACTAAGAAAGGGTTACAATTGCCATTGTTTAGAAATTGTCATAAAGAAGTGGAGATGGGTTTTAATAGTATATTAAGTGTCTCCCTTGTTCGTTCACTTCCCTTTTTAGATTCGTGTAATGATTATGTCATTTGTAATATAGAAAAGTTTAATAAAAAATTACAGACGTGAATGAATTCTACAAGGATTGTATCAATTTATAAGAAGCCACATATTATCTTACTTTAAGAAACGGATAAATTTCAAAGATAATGCAAAATATATTAATTAAAAAATATATAATATTTCTAAGATTGCCCTTGCTAGCAACACTGTTCATTGATGCAATAATAAAAATACATAAAAGAAGCAGGTTCAAATCCCGGTCCCGACTTAAGTACGATATATTTTTTAATTATATATTTTGTAGTCTTAAGAAACTTTAGAGGTAAATTGTCCCATCTTAACGCTACTCTACATGCATGCTAACTTATTTTATATAGTTCTTGAATCATAGAGTTTTTGAATAGTAAGAGCTTAGGCGGTTAGTCGCAGGATGGACTGTTTTTTAGTCTAAGGCCAAAAGAATGTTTATACGTGGTACAGCCATATGCTGCAGCTATATTAGTGGTATAGTTGCAGCACGAATGAGTCGGCACAGCCGGAAATACCACACTCTCATAGCATACCGGCCCAAAATAGCAGCTTAACGCTGCTGTGTTATAGTGAGTGTAGAGAACCGAAGACACTTTTTACTGAAAACGAAACGGCATTCTTCTTATTTCATCTTGGTTCTCACGGGTGACAACGCATTTGCATTTTGATTCGTAATCGAGGATAGATGTAGACGTCTATGGGCCACAGCAATGAATTACCACCAGATTTACTGAAGGATAGAATAGACTTTATCAGAGCACTGATTTTGATAGACTAGTGACCTTGAAAAGTAAGGAAGCAAACCTTGTAAATGTATGCAGAAAGGAAGGTATTTCATTCTTTCATTCACTAAAACCTATCAAGAAACCACAGCTGAACATAAGCGTCCCTCATAGATTATATTAGTCATAGTTGCCAGGTTGCCACTCTTGGCAGGCGGGTTGGCAAGCACACTTTATTTTGAGTTGTTATAAGAAATATGCTGCCCATCTAGAAACCCGTCTGGGTTGGTATCACTCTTCTTCAAATTTCTGCCGCCAACCAGCAGTGATCTCCTTTGAAGAGTAAGCAAGGCAGTATGGATACAATAGTAAAAAAGGTTAGGTACATCCCTTATACGTTACATCACTCCTGGGTACAGGCCTCCTCTCATTTCTGAAAGGGTTGTGGAAAACTTATCTTGTAAATGTATGTAAGTACTTGTGTAAATTTTACTTGCGTACTGAAAAAAATTACGGCGAGCGCTAAGTCCCTTGGCTAAGAGCACCTTACCTTTGCAAGCTGTGAGATTAATCCGTATTAGACTTTTAAAGTCTATTTATCACGTTTAAACATGATAACGCATCTGTGGCATGTTCTCTTTGTATGGTTTACGTTGAAGAATATTTCATTCAATACCAGCGTTAAATAGCAACTTAATGCTTCTGTGTTTTGAGTGGTGAGTGTAGAGAACGGGATACCCTTTTTACTGGCATTATATCTCAGGTTTGAAAGTTGACAGCGCATGTAAGTGTTATTTTTAAAGACAAAAATGTATGTGTCTATGGGCCACATCATATACTTACCAACAGATTTTAATACCATTCTAATACCATCGAATTTTAATCACTGGATGAATACTTTTAACTATTTCGTAAATAAAATGGGAACAAATTTTGACTTGTTTAATTAATCATAATGCCGTGTACCTAGTGTCGGCGTAAGATCAAATTCAAATTGCTTATTGCATGATACATTACTAATTTAATATAGTGCATTAAGAGAATCCACTACCTAGTCTGAAATCACCATGTCATCCTTAAATCATAAAAAGCTGTGGATGCTATTGCGTTTGCTAAGCGTGGCCACGGTGGCAAATATCCCTCCTACAAGACGGCCTCCTATGGCGGAGATATGTTCAGCGATGTAGCTGTGTACAAATATAGGATGTATTGGTGATGAAGATACTTACTCATAAATCTCCTCAAGTTTTTTAGGTATCTGCTTAGTGCTGCTGCGCCGCAGGTCCATGACTGCTAACCAAAACCGTATGTTCTCGTGCGAGTACTCTTTGCGCAAGAAACTGGTGAACTCCTGCAGGCCCGTAGGATCTGACACCAGTTCCTCGATCGATAGAGCCCAGCGCTGCACACGCTTCTCACTTGGCACCTCCACTCTGTTATCCACCAAAATATATATTTAAAAAAATAATAACATTAAAATATTATTCCGTATTAATAAATAGAATAAACTTTAGATATAGATCTGGCATAATAAAATACTTGAAAATTTTAACTTAAAATTTTTAATTTCAATCAATTTAACTAAGTATGTAGATTAATAGTAACTAGTGCTTAATAAATGTTATTTTTATCAAACAGTGAATCTATTAAAATCATTTACACAGCTGTACAAATTATTGCAAGTTCAAATGATCACTACGATACGAGGGCGGCACTGAAAATTTCGGGAATCAAGGAAGTGACACAAAATTACTATTTAAAAATGTATTTATTGCTTTTCGAAGTATTCTCCGCAAAATTTGACACATTTTTCCATACGATGGAACCAATCATTGAAGCAACCATTCCATTCGGAAGTTGGGGTCTCCAAAATGGCCGTTTTGTAGGCGTCCACAGCTTCTTCAGGTGATGAAAATCTCTGTCCACGCAATTTATTCTTTATTTTAGGGAAAGTATAGAAATCATTAGGGGCCTCGACCTAAGTCGGGGCTGTATGGCGGATGGTCTAATAATTCTATGTTTTCTTGCTCTAAAAACTCTTTTGTTCTGTGTACGGTGTGAGAACTCGCATTGTCGTGATGGAGGATGATGCGGCGGTTGCAGTTCTCTTTACGGAGTTCAGAAACGACCTGTGGCAAACAAATGCTAGCATACCATTCGGTATTAACCGTTCTTTTTCCCTCAAGAGAAATAGTCGTAACATGGCCGGTTTTGGAGACAAATGTGGCCACCATTTTTTTTTTTTGCAACACTCCGTGAAGGAACAATTTTTGTTGGCTTTAACTCATTTTCGAACACCCAAACTCGTGACTGGTTTTTTGTCTCGGGTTCGTACGCGTATATCCAGGATTCGTCACCTGATACGATGTTGTATACAAAATTTGAGGATCCTGCGTGGAATCTTTCGAGAGTTCTGACGCAATAAGTAACGCGAACCGCTTTTTGCTCTTCACAGAGCGAATGCGGTATCCATCGGGAAAACAACTTTTTTACACCTAATTGTTCATGCAAGATTATTTGTATTTGACTCATGCCAATGTCTAAAGTTGCCTGAATTTCGCGGTATGTCACATACGAGTATCTTCTTCAATCAGCTTACGCACAGCATCAACGTTTTCTTGGGTGACTGCAGTTTTTGGACAACCTTGACGGGGATCATCACTGAGCTTGAGACGTCCACGTTGAAATTCAGCAAACCAGCTATAAATTGTCGTTTTGGATGGGGCTTCATCACCAAATCAACAACACACAACACACTGTTTTTGTGTTAAACCACTTCGAAAGTCATAATAAATTATCGCTATTGAATTTTCTCGAGTCAATTCCATTTTCGCAACGACTAAACAAGTTTGACAAAACCTTGTGACAAGACCGAGAATCTTTTTTTAAATAAATAAATGGTATTCGATTTTTAAAACCAAGGAGTTTGCAATTAAAAAGATTTTAATATGACAGGAACAGTGGAAATATTCCATTCCCGATACTTTTAGTGCAGCCTAGTACTGATAACTATAATAGATGTTGCTTGGCATGTAAAACGCGATGGAATTTTTTTTAACTAATTAAATCTTACTAGTGGTCACTCAGTGGTCGAAATTCGACTGGAAATAAAATAAAATTAGTTTGAACGTTACCTTGAAAAATAACCTAGTAAGGTTATTTTTCAAGGAGTCTTTAATTATTGCATAGTTAGTCACGTATTAATTATATTTTTTGTATTACGTCAACTGCGAGCATGTTTAAATACATCATAAGCGCGTGCTGGTGAATTTAATTATTTGTTGACAACATTTTAAAATACTTTGGGAACTATCTCTCCTCTGTGCAAATGTTTCAATGTTTGAAATTGACTATTTAACGGGAACTTGACAGGCGGCGGATTGTTGCTTCCGTGTTATTGTTTAAATAATGGTTTGATATGTAACAGGGAGCGATTTGTGTATTAAATGTCTGCGCATATGAACTATTAGTGGAAACTATGATGACGTGAATCTTAAGATAGTACTGCTTAAGCTATCTTCCAAAAATTTCACAATGTCAAGACATTGTGAATAAGTTTTGAAATAAATTAATATAAAGGAAAATTCCTTTATATGTATGATACTGGCAAAAGTACAACCGTACAAGTCCATTACCAAAAAAAGAAAGTGAAAATAATATGAGCGTAAACAATGAACGTCTTATTCATAAAATACTATAATACATACGTAATAGAACGGGGGAGTGGGCGGAGCCCGTGTAACATGTCAATGTCACTAACATGTCAACCCACACCTATAAGTGTCAACACAATTAATTGTTTCCAATTTTCGTGTCAAGCGTCGCTGCAAGCAAATTATTTAAAAAATGGCAAATTGTGCAATAACTACGTGCGGAAAGAACAGCTGGAAATGGAATTTAATTAAACAAGACATATTCTACAACAAATAATTCGAAACTATTTATATTTAGTGAATATTAGAAACAAAAATAAAGAAATATTTATGTGTCAAAAACGTTTATCAAAAGTCTAAAATGTGTTTGTAGTAGTGATAACTGCAAATACGACGTAATTGCTTGTATGTGTGCTCCCGGCGACGCCGATCCTCGTACAAAATAAGGTTGGCAGCCATTTAATTGTGTATTATAGTATTCTATGGTCTTATTGAATTTTATTTAAATTATTGAACTTCTTCTCACTATGAACTTTAACTACACCAAGTCTCATCCTTTTCCGTGTGCTTCCGTCATAACTCATTTCAACGTCATCCATTTATTACCTGACATCTTGCATAATGTATTGCATATAGTCTAGGTAACACCACTGTAAACATATATAGCCAAAATACAACTTCATACATTCCGAATCGAAACATACACACATATGCATATAAACGCGAATATCAACTTTTTCGACTTCGATCGACTTTCATTGTAATCGATCCATTTGAACATCCATTTTAACAAAGAATTACAAAATAGCTGTAACTTTTTCGACTTTCATAACGACTTCGACATTCGTGATGAAAAGGTTGATTTTGGAAGAAATCGGTCCATTTATTATAAAGTATCATTCGTTTTTTTTTTCGAGTCGATCCGTTCCGGCTTCGCACGGGTGATTTCTGGATCACGACAACATCGCCACTTAAATCTTAATCATCAAATTTTATCAAAATTGTTCGAACCGTTTTCGAGTTTTCGCGAAACTAACGGACAACAATTGATTTTATACATATATATTAGCGATCCACTCCGGCTTCGCACAGGTGATTTCTGTATCTCGACAACAGCGCCACCTACCGGGTCCAAATGTGAATATAAACCATCTAGGGACCCCTTCAAATACACACAAAAAAATTCATCAAAATCGTTTGGATGGTTTCAAAGTGTATAACGGACATCGATAGAATTTTTTTGTGTTTTATATAGATAGAAATTTCAATATGTCAGTTTAAATTTTGTAACCGATTCGTTTATCATGTTCAGAAGAACTTTCATGTATTGATTTTGAAATCAATCAGCCAATATAGAGTTTTTAAGATAGGCGACTTTTTTAGTTTTGACGAAGAATTTATCTTAGATCACGTGGAAACAAGAGTTTTCATATTCTTTTTTGGCACTAGCCTTATTATTATGCCCTTAACACAAGCTTAGTTCTTTAGTTTCATTGAGTCTAATTTTCTAGTGAATTTCATTCAACTATTGGAGTATCTTAGAACCATAACTACGTGTGTATAATAAATATAAAAAAAATCAATTTTACGAAAATTATAGTGACTCTAATGAAGCCGTGTAGTGGCGGTTAAGAATATCCACTACCCCATATCTTCCCGTGGGTGTCGTAAAAGGCGACAGAGGAGAACAGGCAGGAGATGGGTAGCAGCATCTTCCTGATAACAGCAACTGTACGACAAAAAAAAACGCTTGGCGGCTTGCCAACCCGCTCGCCAAGCGTGGCAACTATGGCAATATACCCCCCATGAACAATTACACAAATAGACGGCCCCCAGTCCCCGGCGGCCCCGCTATTCCTGGCTACGGTGGCGACCATGGTAATGGCGGGGCAGGGGGTGCTAAGAATCTCAGGTGGAGGTTCGGTTGCCACCTACGACGACTCGACCTGGCAACATTTAACGCACGCACCCTGAGGACTGACGAGAAGATCCTGGAGCTGAAAGAAGAGATAGACAAGTTGCGCTGGAATATTATAGGATTATCCGAGGTCCGAAGAGAGGGAGAGGACACGGTGATTCTCGAATCCGGCAACTTGTTCTATCACCGGGAGGGCGACCATCTGTCCCAAGGAGGTGTCGGATTTATCGTCCACAAGTCTCTCGTCAACAACGTTATAAAGATTGGGAGTGTGTCGACGAGGGTCGCGTACCTGATACTCAGAATCACCAAACGGTATTCGCTGAAGGTCATACAGGTTTACGCACCAACCTCGGCACATCCCGATGAGGGGTGGAGGAAATGTATGAGGATATTTCCAAAGCCATGCATTCCTCCAAAACCCACTACACGGTGTTGATGGGAGACTTCAACGCAAAACTAGGTACAAGAGAAAACGGTGAGCTGAAGTTAGGGAAATTTGGAGTAGGGCAACGGAACCGAAGGGGCCAGCAGCTGGCCGACTTTATGGAGAAAGAGGGACTCTTTATGATGAACTCTTTCTTCCAGAAGCGGCCCCACAGGAAGTGGACCTGGTCGAGCCCCGACAGTTCGACAAAAAATGAGATTGACTTCATTATGACGACCAAACGCCAACTGTTCAGTGATATCTCAGTGATCGCAAGGGAGAAAACTGGCAGCGATCACCGAATGGTTAGAGACACACTGAACCTAAACGTGAAGTTGGAGAGGTCTCGTCTAATGAAGTCAACGCTCCGTCCCCCTCGTGCTCTAATCCAGAATCCCGAAAACTTTCAGCTCGAGTTACGTAACCGCTTTCAGTGCCTACAAGATTGCAATGCAGTGGACGATATGAATGACAAGCTCGTGGAAACTGTCCATGCGGTCGGAGCTAAGTTCTGCAAGACCCGCCGCAGAAGAACACAAAAACTCTCCGATCACACTCTTAATGTCATGGCTGTTAGACGGGAGATGAGGCTGCAATCGTCAACAGATTTGACAGCATACAGGCAACTGAACAGACAGATCTCCAAATGCATGCGGCGAGACTTACGCAACTTTAATACTGCTCGTATTAAAGAAGCGATCGAGTAGAACCAGGGCTCCAAAGTCTTTGCCAGAGATCTGTCAGCCAGTAAGAGCCAACTATCAAAGCTGAAGACTGAGTGTGGCAGCATCGTTTCCGGGACACCTGAGATTTTGAGTGAGATTAAGAGGTTCTATGGGCAGCTGTACACATCATCGTTGGAGCCACACGCAAGTGTGAGTAACGATTCAAGAGCAAGTCTTATCCGACACTACTCCGATGATATCCCGGACGTCAGTCTAAGCGAGATTAGAATGGCTCTCCAGCACCTTAATAACGGCAGGGTCCCAGGCGAGGATGGAATTATAGCGGAGCTTCTGAAAGCGGGTGGAAAACCGGCACTTGAATTCCTTCAGAAGCTCTTCAATTCCGTCCTTCACGGAGGTACTACTCCGGAGGCGTGGAGCAGAAGTGCGGTGGTCTTGTTCTTTAAGAAAGGCGACAACACTCTCTTGAAGAACTACGGACCGATTTCCCTTCTGAGCCGCGTCTACGTGCTGTTTTCGAGAGTCATTACGAATCACATACATACGACCGACATAGCCCAACGGATTAGTAAGCTGAAGTGGCAATCTGAAGCCGGCCATATAGCTCGAAGAACCGATAACCGATGGGGAAGAAAGGTTCTCGAGTGGCAGCCTCGTACCGGTAGGCGTAGTGTAGGGCGACCCTCCACTAGATGGAGTGACGACCTGGTAAGACATGCAGGAAATCGATAGATGCAGGTGGCTCAGGACCGTGCTTTGTGGCATTACTTGGGGGAGGCCTATATTCAGCAGTGGACTTGTGAAGGGCTGTAATGATGATGATGAATGGAGCGTAGGCTAGCGTAGGCAACTATCTCAAAATAGGGGCATAAAGAGGTACTGCTCTAGTTATATATTTACTGTGGTAATACTTTGACTGTCAGCTAAATAAAAAATAACCTTCATATACGTACTAAAGCCATGCTGCAACTATATTATATAATAGATAGGAGGCATTCCATTTTAGACGTCAGGGGTGACAACTAACAACGCATCTGCAATTTGATTCTTGATCGAGGATAATTGTTTAAGTTATTGTGCAAGTGCAAGTGAAATATAGCTTGCTTAATATACAAACTTAAAAATATTATGAATTAAAGTCGAATTTTGACCGATAGATGACCACTAATGTAATAAGTATTATACTTACAATGGACTATTTATTTGCCAAAATAGTGTATCGTCCGAAACCCAGGGATTTGAGGGCTGCGGCGGCGTGAGCCAGGGATCGTAGGGAGCGAAGGTTTCTGAATAGGCCACGAGGGCTTCCAGGGCAATAGATGTCTTCACTCTTGTGCGATCCAGGCTTGCTTTTAGGTGTTCGATCTATATTAGACAAAAACATTTAAATAAGTTTGCTAAATTACTGTACATTAAATTAAAAAAAATATCATTAAATTTTTTATGAACGTCAACAAGGACCACATCTATTATTTCAATTAGTATTTAAATGTAATGAAAACCTTACGAGAATTGAAACAAATTTTTGTCGATAATTTTAATATTTGTTAGTTCAAGAAAACGTGAAATTTATTTTCAATGTCAGACATCAAAATTCAATTTATTTAAATTTAAGGGTATATTTGCATCTTTAAACCTGAGATACCTCTCTCGTGAGCTGGTGTATCGACCTTTTCTTAGGTCTGGGGTGGCGCACGCGCACGGGCACCGGGCAGGGCTCCAGTGCGCTCGGCACTCCGGGCGGCGGCCGCGCTACTCGCCAGTACGCCCTCTCTTGACTATCACTAACGATTTTGTCTCCCTTCTTCCGCTCCTTTGCTAACCTCACCTAGAGATAAAAATTGGTAAATCCATCTTTAATTAAAAATTTAATTTACTACAAACTAAATCATCTATCCAATCCATTACAGTCTACAGGTGTCCATTACTGTTCATAGCCCTTCCATAGAATATGAAAAATAAGGGAATTTTGCCATAGTTGCCACACTTGGCAGGCGGGTTGGCGACTGCAATTTTTTAAATTATTTTGAGTCTTTATCAGGAAGATGCTGCTACCCATCACCTGTTTCAATTTTCTTCTGTCGCCTCTTACGACACCTACGAGACGATATGGGTTAATGGATATTCTTACACCGGAAAACAAACAAAGTAAATATGTCTATTATTTTAAGTACGTTATAAAACTCATTGATTTATAGTTTAAACTTATTAACTTATAATTTATATAACTTTTACGGTTTTTAATTTAATCAACCGTTTTATCGCTCCTTATAATTTAACTTTTTATTTACTTTTTTCTAAAATATGTTGTGTATGTATAAATGAATAGGTTACCGCTTACGACTGCAAAGAAATACATTTTTTTAACATTTTCTGTATAAAACATACTGGCCAGAAAGAAACTGCATACTAAAGAAAATACGTAAAAAGGGGAAAAAAGAATTACGTGCACCATTGAAGATTATAATGTGTACTTACGTACTAGAACAGCTATCTCAAACAAAAAATGTGCGCTACTCTGTGTTCGCGCGGTTGGTTTTTTATCATAGAATAAACATAGGTAGAAATAGGTAGAAATAGGTTAATTATATCGAGAACAATATTTAAATTTTGTAATTTATTTTGTATATTATATTTGCTTGTTTATTATAATATTACATAATAAATATTATATCACAATTACATTTTAATAATATTTTTATCTAAATGTTTTAAAAGTTAGTATCTATGTCAAATATAAAAAAACATACTAAATGTATGTTTAACAAAACCTATTAACATAACATTTAAATTACAAATATATTTATTTAAATAAGAAAAAGAGTCGCTCATAAATGCTGGGTACGCGAGTATGGACGAATTTATACCACTTCGACTTTGATGTGGAAACCTAAAAATAAAATAAAAGAATAATAAGCAGATTTCAACATGAAAAATTTTGCCTAATTATAATAAGTTATATATAATATGTTTCTACAAAAAAAAATGTATATAATAATATATTCCTCCTATACTTAAATACCCACATAAATGTCGCATCTGAACATATTAATTTCATAATCTATATTCCATGACACGAGATGGCGTCTTAGGAATAATTTGTTTTATTATTAATCTATAATTTTTATTGATTAAGTATCATATTAACCGATGAAAAGTAATTCCTTGGGTTTTACTGACATTTCTTGAATTATTTGTGCAATATCTAAGTACATACGACGGCATATTTTTATCAAGAGATTTCTTTTAATTCAACAAAAGACGTGACAACTCTACAAGTGCCTAGCGAGTGACTGATTAAAGTGCGGTGTATGCACCGCAGTTGAGTGGAACAGAATAGCTGAATGCAGTGTCGCCTCTAGTACGTAGTACATAATAGCTCAATGACGTGCACCAACATAATTTTAATAATGCTTAGAAAAAAAAATCTGTGTCTGACCTAGATGGTAAAATGATTCCTTAATGAAAAAAAAAGATTTGCCGCAATCGCTTTTCTTACTAGTCTGATTACATGAATCTAATCAATTCGGTCCTCTAATATTGAGGATTGGGATTATTATTTGGTGCAAAAATAAAACAAGAAGTGCTTTCCATTCGACTCTGTCTCTTAAGACCAGTAGCGACTGATGCAGTTGAAGTTGCGTGTTTTTTTATCTATAAAATTTTATGAGTTCTTTTGTTAGGTACCAACCATAGTTTAATTTTCCAGACAGTGCTAACTAAAGCGTTAAATGTATAAAAAGAATTTATTACACAATTAAGCCTGGCGTCGACTACAGTAGAAACGCGTCGAATCGAATCGCTCATTCACCGAAAAGTCTTCGTCAAATTAGGTCGTTTTTGCATCATGGACAGAGATGTGAGATTTATTTCAAATACTTTTTGATGAAGCAAAGGAGAATAGAAAAAGGAAACGGCGTGCTCTCAAAAAACGACGTAATAAGAAAAAAAACGAATTTCATCATTTATATCCAGATTTGAAAAGGGATCCCCTTAAATTTTTCAATAATTACGTTTATCCTATGAAAAAGTTCTTCATTCACTTTTATTTAAACAAAAAGACTTTTATGAAAACTCAATAGAAATTATTAAAAATATGTTGGCGCGCATTTCTGCGTCGACTGAGGCGCGCCGAATCGAATCGAATCTCATCGGCGAAGAAATTCGCCTGTCAAGCAATTCACGCGGTCGATTCATTTCGGCGCGCCGCGGCTCGTTACTAATGGCCTCAGTTTCATAGTAAATCTAAAGGAGGCGACTTTCTGCGATTCGACTCGACTCGGCTCGGCGAGCCTAGTGGACGCGGGCCTTTATAACGAAAGATTCGAATTCTTCCCACTTATACATTTTAATTCTTAATCGAGGGTAGATGTAGGTGCCTATCGACTACAGCATATTTGCCATCAGGTGAGCCGTGGTCTCGTTTGTCACCCTTGTTCTATAAAAAAATACCTGTTCTTCCGCTTGCATAGTAATGAAGTCCCATTTCGCGGCGAGGTTCTTCTTGAGCTTTGCGAGCGCCTCTTGTTCGTAATCCTCGAGGCCATGCCGCTGTTTATTACGTAGAGTCCGCTTCACGAGGTAGATGGCATACTCCACGTTGTCTGGGCCTAGTGATGGCGCACTCGACCCGCCGCCGGCCACACGAGGGCCTTGCCACGGCCAGTAATATGGACTCTAAACGTCAAAAATTGCATTTAAATTAAATTATTTTATTTCAAAGTTAGTTTAGTTAATTTTTACCCCCCGAAGGAGCATAATAATAGTATTACAGTAAAAATAGACGTTTTTTTTGTCAACTTTTCGCTTAATTTCTGATGCAATTTTTTATAAGGTTTAGGATCATCGCTTACTGAGCATAAAATCACAAAATGCTGACAGATCCAGGTGGCGCTTCAAGCGCCATCTTGAAAAAACGATTTCAGCCGATATCTCGGAAACTATGCACTTTAAGGCAAAGGTTTATAGAAATCATTATTGTAGAAAATAAAATTTTGCATCTTGTTGTTTGTCACCGTTACAAGTTACTCTTGTAATTTAAAATTAATCAATAAAATGCATAAATCCATTTTTAAAGATCAGTTTATTCTCTACAACTTTTGTTTCAAGCTTTTTTTCTAATGTCCATACTTTTTGAGTTATAGGACGTGTAATGTAGAAATGCCGACGCTCGGCGGGTGACCCGGCAGATTTTTTTAAATTTATTTGTTGAATTTGTACCATTATATTCTATGCGTATCTTGAAATTTTCAACTTTACCCCTGGTAGTCCAACATAGATTGACTCCTAGGATGTGTTCAGCAGTGTATTTTAATGGTATAACTATTTGTAACGATAACGAAATAACTACCTCTTGTACTCGTACTCCGTGAAATTATTTTGTTTAGGCAGTCGATTAAGCTGTGGGAGGCTGACTGTCTATGTGCGTGGTACGGTCCATTTTTTACAGGTTAATTAAACGAGCACAGATAAATATTGTGCATGATTATTGATATCGTTAATAATATCAGCACACGAATTTGGGAAGAATTTCATGTTTGTGGGACAATGTTGAACTCCTTTAATGATGGGAAATAATAAAGGCAAATGCGGATCTGTCCCCCTAACGCAGAAGGAGGTTGACAACCTTAAACTGGTGAAAACTTTACAATATCGAAATTGATTCGTGCAATATCATTTCAGTGGTGAAGTGAACTTTTTTGATTTTTATTTTTATGATATAATTACTATTAACGTAAACGTAATAAATGTAGCCTGCCTAAAAATGAAATTTTCTTATATAATAAAGAACAACAAAAAAAAAAAATAACAACTCTTTACGACGAAGTCATAAATGGCTGATAACACTTATTACATTGTGAGTGCTGGCGACCAAATCAAATAATAATAATTTAAAGTCTTACTGGATTCATGTGATTATTGATCACAAATATTAAATATATTACGTACAGTTTGATTATCTTAAAACCTTAATTTAAATTTTTAAATTACCTTTAAACGAGCAATCCTTATATATATATATATATATATATATATATATATATATATATATATATATATATATATATATATATAATCGGAATCTCGGAAACAGCTCAAACGATTTTCATAAAATTTTGTGTCCAGGGAGTTTCAGCGGCAATAAATCGATCTAGCTAGGATTTATTTTTAGAAAATGTCTTTTTTGTCTGTGTTTTCAGGCAATGAAAAACTGCTACAACATAAGTCGTAATAGCTCAAGTGGATAGCGAGCGGTCACGAAATCGTAATGCCTTGGTTCGCGTCCTATCTTCGGTCCGACTTTTTTCCTTTTTTTTTTCAAGTTCCCTTCTTTTGTGAGAAAATCTATTATTTCGAGTCCTTTTCTTTAGTATTTTTAAAAATACGAAAATTTTAATTAAACTAATTGCATAATTTTTTTAATTAAAACCGAGCAAAGCTTGGTCATCCAGGTATTTTGAATTTATTAAAGCTAGCGAGGTTTTTAGAAATACATACATAAATACATAAACACTCACGCCTGTCACCCAGAATGGTAGGCAGAAACTACAGACTTCCATTTGGCACGATCCTGACACACCTCTTTCGCCTCTTTCATATCCATACACCTACGCATACATGCTCGTAGGTTAAGGGTACTCCTAATTTGGCCCGTTTTCAATAAATCGCCAATTTGGTCGATAAATTTTCGCCTAGGACGTCCCTTTCCGACTCTGCCATTCACTTCTGCAACATAAATTTTCTTTGTCACTCTTTCCTCATTCATTCTTTCCATATGACCAAACCACCGAAGCATTCCTTTCTTAATCCTGGTCACAACATCATCTTGCAAACCACACTCTTCTCTTATTACACAATTTCTTACCCTGTCATTCAGATTCAGCCCTAACATACTCCTTAACGACCGCATTTCTACTGCGTTCATTCTACTCTCATGCTTCTTCTGCTACACCCAACTTTCACTACCATACGTTAAAGTAGGGACCAAAACAGCATTGTGAATTGCCATACGTGCCTTTTTCGACACATTTTGACTCTTCACAATAGAGTGTAGGGCCCCATTTATTCTATTTCCTGCATTCACTCGTCGTTCTATATTCTTGTCACATCTCCCATCCCTACTAAATACGCAACCAAGATATACAAACTCATCTACTTGCTCGATCAACTCCCCTTCTATTCTTATTTCACATATCGTATTACTTTCTTCTCTTTCAAAAACCATAACTTTCTTCTTACTTGCGTTCACTTTCATACCTTTTCTTTTAATGATCTGTTCATTAATGTAACCATCATTTGCAGCTCGGCCGCCGACGATGCAAGAATAACTTGATCATCGGCGTACAAAAGGCATTTGACGGTTAACTCACCCATTCTTAATCCGCATTCTTCAACTTTCAAATTTTGCAAACAACTGTCCATAATTAGGTTGAACAGCTACGGGGAAGCCAGACAGCCCTGTCTGACACCTTTATGGATGCCAAACCAGTCCGAGTAGACCCCGTTGATCCTAACACAAGCACTAGAGTCCCTATAAAGTGACTCCAATGCCTGTATCAAGCCAGCGTTCAACCCAAATGAATTCAGTGTTTGCCATAGCACATCCCTATCCACTCTGTCATAGGCCTTTTCCAAGTCCATGAACGCACAAAAAACCTTTTGGTTTTTGGCCAAAAACTTTTCCGCGATCATGCGCATGGAAAATACTTGATCTGTACATCCCATTCCCTTTCTAAATCCGGCTTGCACATCCCAAATTTTTCATCAGTTTCTTTCATGACTCTTTCAATCAGTACCTTAGCATACAGTTTTCCCACAATGCTAAGAAGGCTGGTACCACGGTAGTTTTTACAGTCCTGCTGCGACCCTTTTACTTTATATACTGGGACTATCACGGCTTTGCACCAGTCTACCGGTACCCGCTTCAGTTCCCAGCATAAATTAAACAAGGTGTGCAGCAGGCCTGCCACCACTTCCTCTCCAGCCCTTAGCCCCATTTCGAGTGAAACTCTATCATATCCGGCAGCCTTACCTGCTTTCATGCTTTTCATTGCTTTCATTATTTCATCTATACTTATCTCGCTACCTCTTTCCTCTTCTTTCGGAGTTTCTACTTCATTTATTTTATACGTTGTCTCCTCACTCATAAAAACGCTTTCAAAATATGCCTTCCATCTCTTTAAACTCAAAACTTCATCATTCAGAATATAGCCATTCTCATCTCTTATAGCATTCATTATAGGCTGTTTTCCTGTGCGTGCATGTCCCCTGGCAGTTCTTACGAGTTTTCAGAACATTTTAATATTTGCCTGGAAGTTATCCGATATTCTTCTATCATTCTTATCCGTTCTTTCTTGCTTTTTCCTTTCAACTACTTCTTTTACTCTCTTATTTAGATGTCTAAAGGCTGCCTTTTTTCTTTCAATATCATCATTCGTACCGCTAGAATTACCAGCCTTTGTTGCTAGTAAATCTAGCCATGCTCTCTTCTTTGCTTCAACTTCCATACGCATCTCATCATCCTACAACAACGTATTATTTTTCCTTTCATTCTTCCTCTTACTAACACCACATACTTCGGTAGCTGCATCCACTAAACCTTTCTTAACATTTTGCTATACATTCTCCAAATCTAACTCATTCATACATAATTCATCCAAACCACTTATATTTTCTTTCAGTCTACATTTGAACTTGTTTTTCTCACCTTCCTCTTGTAACCTTTCAGTTCTTATACGCTCTACCACTACAGACACAGATGACCGATGGCGCCAACGCCTAGATAGACCATTAATTCGACATAAAACCAAATAATGATCCGTTCCTACGTTGGACCCCCGGTAAACCCTTGTATCTACCACTGCACCCCTCATTATTTCATCCACAATTACGAAATCTATCATGCTTCTATCATCACCTCTTTCCCAAGTATACGTGTGAATCCTCTTGTGGCAAAAGCAAGTGTTCGTCACAATAATATTCTTTTCCATACATACGGTGAGGAGGCTTTCACCATTCTCATTTCTACTTTCATCACCAAACGTTCCCAATATCCTTTCATAACCAAGCCTCCTCACCCCAACCCTTCCATTAAAATCTCCTAGCATTAACACCATCTTTACAGTTTCCCAAAACTGCTCTCGGATATAAGTGGGCTTAGACATGTCTGGGGCGTAGACCCCTAGCACAAACAACTTCTTTAAGTCCACTTTCATTCGTATCCATAGCAGTCTTGGGCTTACACATTCATACTTTTTCACACATAGGCCCATTCTTTCTGAAAGGACGATACCTACCCCCTGGCATGCTTCTTTAAAGTCCTAATGAGCGTCATTTCACGTCATAATTAGGTAATAATCGATGAACATGAATATTAACAGCGGTGAATCTTCCTGATTGGGAAGTGAACAACATGTTCCTAATAAAAGATCAACATAAAACAATATACTTACTTGAAATCTATAAAGAGAAGAGTCATCCTTTAACACAAGGTTTTTTGAATCGTTGACAGGAAAGAAGTAGCCGTATTGGCAGAGTTGATTGGCTAAGTTTATTGCTTCAACTGTAAAAAAAACACATATTTTTAATTGATATATATGTATATCATTACTTTTTATGAGTGAATTAAAACATCGAAAGAAATGAAAAGAAAACGTACATGACCGAACAAAAATTAATTTAAGAAATAAATAAAAACTAGTAAAAAATATTAATTTATAATTAAAGACGATATATATAAACGAGAAACTTACTATTGTTTGCTTCATCAAGATTGAATCGCTCCATCAGCCATTCGACGAGGTCGTATCCTGGAAAATTTAACGATCATTTAACAGCTACATGAAGTAACACTCTGCGTGTATGTAAATAGTAAGTATGCGTATTACGTAAATGTCCAGAGAGCAACTATTTTCATACGTGGTAGAAGCATGCTGGAGCTATATCAGTAGTACAGTTGTAGCACGAGTGGGTCGGCTCGACCGCGGAACCTTCCGATGCTCTCACAGAATACTAGCATAAAATAGCTGTTTAATAATGCTGTGTTTCGTATGGTGAGTGTAGATATCTGGAGACCCTTTTTTACTGGAAACGAGGCATTCCGTTTTAGTCCTCACGGGTGACAACGCATCTGCATTTTGATCATAAGCAGATCGTTGTCATCACAATCGAGGATAGATGTGTGCTCGTTTAACACCTTTATCGTATAAAAGAGAGTATTATCGTAAGAAACAATAATTACTATTATTATTCATTTACATTATACAGTGTAGACCATATCATAATATTATATTGATCTTAAATAAAGCATTACTCTTCTGTTAAAAATATAACAGATTTACTCCGAAAACACACAAAATCGAAATTACATTCAAAGCTTTAGGAATAGAGTATTTTCGCACTAATATTTAATTTATTGAATACAAGTTATTATAAGTATTTTTATAAAACAACAATTAAGTTAGTATTTTATGTATTTAATAAAACAAAACTATTTATATTTATGAAATAAAAACCAAAATATATTACCAAAAATATAAATTCTATAATATTTAAAGGAAAAGGTATGAGAATGTTTTTATAATCGGTAAGTTCTTAGATTTATTTTGTGTATCTTCCAAATTTTAAAGGTTGCGTTAATATTTAAATAATAATTGATCGCTGAATGAGAGTTAAGCCCATTTGACTGTTAAAAACAATAGGTCGGTAGTCGGTAAACGTAGCAGCCGCAGACGGTAAATATGTGCTGAATATCGATTTTACATTTAGGCGCTTTAGACGTCCAAATACGCACAGCGACGACGACGCCCAGACATAGTATGGAAAAACGAGCTACTGTCCAAATTTCAGATGCACTTAAGGATAACGAGAAGTTTACTTATTAAAAGTTGGTTGCATGTGTTCGTTTATGTGCTGCAGTAAGCACTTTCCAGTAAGTGAATTTTTATAATTTGAGAATTTTGACATCTACTAGGCTGCAGTAGTAAGTATCGGGAATGAAATATTTCCACTGTTCCTGTCATATTAAAATCTTTTTAATTGAAAACTCCTTGGTTTTAAAAATCGAATACCATTTATTTATTTAAAAAAAGATTATCGGCCTTGTCACAAGGTTTTGTCAAACTGGTTTAATCGTTGAGAAAATGGAATTGACTCGAGAAAATTCAAGAGCGATGATTTATTATGACTTTCAAAGTGGTTTAACACAAAAACAGTGTATTGACCGGATCGGATGATTTCTGCATTTGGTGATGAAGCCCCATCCAAAACCACAATTTATCGCTGGTTTGCTGAATTTCAACGTGGACGTCTCAAGCTCAGTGATGATCCCCGTCAAGGTCGTCCAAAAACTGCAGTCACCCAAGAAAACGTTGATGCTGTGCGTAAGCTGATTGAAGAAGATAACTCATGTGACATAACGCGAAATTCAGGCAACTTTAGACATTGGCATGAGTCAAATACAAATAATCCTGCATGAACAATTAGGTGTAAAAAAGTTGTTTTCCCGATGGATACCGCATTCACTCTGTGAAGAGCAAAAAGCGGCTCGCGTTACTTGGTGCGTCAGAACTCTCGAAAGATTCCATGCAGGATCCTCAAATGCTGTATACAACATCCTATCAGGTGACGAATCCTGGATATATGCGTACGAACCAGAAACAATAAACCAGTCACGAGTTTGGGTGTTCGAAAATGAGTCAAAGCCAACAAAAACTGTTCGTTCACGGAGTGATGCACAAAAAAAATGGTGGCCACGTTTGTCTCCAAAACCGGCCATGTTACGACTATTCCTCTTGAGGGACAAAGAACGGTTAATGCAGAATGGTATGCTAGCATTTGTTTTTCACAGGTCGTTTCTGAACTCCGTAAAGAGAATTGCAACCGCCGCATCATCCTCCATCACAATGCGAGTTCTCACACCGCACACAGAACAAAAGAGTTTTTAGAGCAAGAAAACATACAATTATTAGACCATCCACCACAGCCCCACTACAGGGGCCCTAATGATTTCTATACTTTCCCTAAAATAAAGAATAAATTGCGTGGACAGAGAATTTCATCACCTGAAGAAGATGTGGATGCCTACTAAACGGCCATTTTAGAGACCCCAACTTCCGAATGGAATGGTTGCTTCAATGATTGGTTCCATCGTACGGAAAAATGTGTCAAATTTCGCGGAGAATACTTCGAAAAGCAATAAATACATTTTTAAATAGTAATGTTGTGTCACTTCCTTGATTCCCGAAATTTTCAGTGCCGCCCTCGTATTTCAATACTCATTGCATTTGATAACAGTACATCTATCAACTTTTAGAACAATTATCTAAGTATCTCCTCATTCATAAGCCTACATATTTATTCAAAAAACAAAATGAATTGAACACAATATATTACAAAGATTAGTATTAAATACTTTTAATATATTACATGATTTTGTCAAAATTAATTAATGAGGACTGATTTTCATTAGATCAAAGTAATCTATTACCTAAATAAATAATTATGGCTTTACTGAACATAAAAGTAAAACAATTGAACGATTTATTCGTAAAATGTTAATTTTATATTGTTTATGTTGTACTTTATTAACGTATTTAGTTGTATTTTATTGTTATTGTTATATTTTATAAATAACTTTTATCTAAGGATTGAAGAGTAGGCCCTTTAAAGATTAAAGACTAAATAACGCAATACTGATCTATCTTTAATCTATACCATGTTATCTAAGTTCAAGATGTTTTCAAATTTTTAAGCAATACTTTTTGAAACACGGTGTAGAAATTTTAAAAAACCGTAATGATATCGTAAAAATCTGAAACTAAATAAAACAGATAACTATTGCAATGGTACTTCAATATTGATGTAATATATACTTAAATTTACAGCCTATATACATCCCACTGCTGGCCACAGGCCTCCCCTCATTTATGAGAGGGTTTTAGGGCAAGGAAGTGTCCGCCGCGCTGCCCCAATGCGTGTTGGCGAACTTCACATGTCTTGGAAATATTTTCTTTCCTTATTCCTCAGACATGCAGGTTTCCTCACGATGTTTTACTTCACCGCCGAGCACGTGGTAAATCAACCATATACTTACGAACACATAATAGCTCAATGTGCTTCAAAGAGCTTTCCTATTACATCCTAAGCGACTATACTTTTAGCTTCTCTGTACAAAAATAAACCAAATAAGTCTGTATAATAACTGCTTATTACAACTATGCCAAATTTCAATCAACTGCGTTTATAAGCTGTAACGGACATACAGACGGGAATTGAAGTGAATCCTTTAGTATTCTGTTTTAAAAATTACATGAAATAATAAAGATGTTGATTAGCCAAAGTCTACCGGAGCGAAGCCGCGGGAATAAGCTTATTTTAAAATTGCCGATGTTAAAATTATAAATACCCAACAGTACGTTTGAATTTTAATTTTTAATAAGATTTCAGTTTTTATTTCTAACATTACATTTCAAGATTGACATACACTTCTTATTATCATGAATAGGATGTCGGAGATATTTGATTTTGATATTTATTGTGTTCATGTAAACCTAATATACAAAGACCTAGCATGCCTTGCGGTGACCACATTTATAGACAGCCGACTTGTAGTTTCATTGACCTGCATATTATCTAGGAATAGAATGTGTTCAACTTCAATATCGATCCGTGTCTCTTCAAGTAAAACTTACATACCCATAAAAGCAGATGGAATAACACTAAGAAATAGTTTCTGACTTCTCACGGGCACGCCGGTTTCTGGATCTTGCATTTCCTTTATCAAACTTTCCATCTGAAAAAAAAAAAAAATAGCTTTTAATATTTATATGTAAATATAAAACTGAAAAGTTTATTATTTAAGAAAAGGAGTTGGGGCTGTTTTAATCGTCGACCTATACTCCCGTATCCCTGTGATTGATAAGACGTAATTACCGGATTTAATCGATTTCCGACAGTGAATCCTTTCCTCGATCGTCGATGGTAAGAGATCATTGCCTGTTTTCGCACTAATAAAATCGAAAATGTAAAGTCAAGACGTCAACAATATTAGGACAAATAAGTAAGCGCAAATATGACTGTAATATTTGTAAGTTGGTTATTTCTTATACGAAATGTGTGAAAACTAGCAGACGATGGAAACTATGCGAAATTGTTCCCGTAATGAAATGCTTCAATAACTATGTCTATACTTTCTAAATCGAACGATCGCACTACTCGGGTTAGTTTCTATAAATATTGAGTGTAAATGATCATTTTCCACATCGCACACTTTTTACGATTTACCACACTGTTATCGTGTACCAAGAATTAAATAACACTAATATAATAATGCATCATTTTATATTACACAACACAAAAAAAGATTATTATACGTTACGAGGCGGGCCCTTATATGTAACAAGTACTTTCGGGACAGGTACTTTAAAAGGTTTCTTTCTCTTATAATATATCGCACATTTGCATCAAAACCTCTATATATATATATATATATTCTATAAAGTTGTTTGTAAAAAAAATGTAAAAATACCCCATGGTGCGTTCGTGCTATATTTTTAACGTCAAAATGTTTTAACTACGAAGGTAAGAGATAAATTATTGCATTTTAGCACTATCTTATTGAGCCTTAAAGTTCATATCGACTGTGTGAAACTACAGTTTTATTACATATATACTAGCTGTTCCTCGCGACTTCGTCGGCGTAAAATTTATTACGATGGATTTCATGGGTTTTAATTTATTTGCGCGGAACCCTTATTCTTTTTCTGAAATAAAAGTAGCTTGAGTTATACTTTATAACATCAGTTATCTGCCAATGAAAGTCCCTTCAAAACCAGTCCAGCCATTTCGGATATTAGCCGGAACAAAAAAATTTAAAATTGTTTTTTTTGTTATAAGTACCGTAAATACTTTCTTATGCATTTACTAAAAAGCTGTTATTTCGACATTACAAACAAACATTTCAATTTTATTTATTTGTATAGATTATATTTATGGACTATGTTTCAGTTAACATCCTTTATCCGGCGAGGAAACTGCTACCGAAATTCTTTGCTTTTGTTGTTAAGATACATTTTTTTATAATTAACATTCGTTTTACCTTCTATAACGTAACATTTTAAATTAAATTGATTTTTTATCTATACTATATTCGAAAATATCCCTAGACATCTTTTTTTCGCAATATAAACACGATAGCCAATATTTCGTGCTTTAAGCACAAAGCGCGTAGGTATGTTCTACTAGCGTCCAAAAATCAAGAATTCAACGTTTTGTCGCATGAATTCGTATCATTATATTGTATAAATGATATAAAAACCACATTGTCAATAAGATAAATAATTGTTGAACTTATTATTGATATTTTTAACGATTAATTGCTATTTTTATATTAAAAAAATGGTTTTAGTGGCTTATGGTGTAGATTTATCACGTTCGCATGGAGTGGTAAACACATAGAATACTATATTATGTATGTATTATAGTATTCTATAGGTAAACACGACAACTTTTGAAAATATCAGTTGTTCAACTCAGTCTATTATTTAATCTATTCATCTATCATGTAAGTACCCATGGAATGTTAATGGTTGTTTAATTTTATTTTGTTTAGTTCCGAAATTTTCGGTGTTTCCGCACCTTGTAATAATATATTTTACTAAATACAGATACACTTTGACACACTGCGGGCTCGGCTGCCGTCGTAAGCGGATTACTGTATCGTTTCTTACAGCGGCTCGCGATGAAAAATATCGATCGCTGTAGAAAATATTTATTCCAAAAACTAAATTTGATTCATACTTGATCTAGGTAAGATATTATTATTATTTTGGGGTATCTATATAATTTTCTCATCTGGTTGGGTTCCATAAATATATAATTGCGAACGAAAATGATAAATATACATAAATAACAATAAAATAAAATAAATACATAAAAATACATAAATAAATAAAAGCCCAACCAGATGGAAGCCCTCGGCAGGGGAGACCAAACAGCCGAGGGTTAGGGGGAAAGGGAAAGAAACCGGCGGACATTGCGGGCAGTATTGAGGAGCACTGCCTTCTGCATTTGAGCCCGGAGCAGTCCGTCACGGAGTCCCAGTCGCCTCAGATGACCCCGAGAGGTTGACTGGGATTAGCCCGTTTGCAGAAACGACTACAGGTATAATTTCGGACGACAGCCCACTCCACATGTCGGTCACCTCGTGAGCCAGGTCCAGATATTTTCTTCGCTTATCTGTTTCGGCTATCACGAGTTTGTCGTTATACGGAATGGTAATATCGACCAAAAATATCCTTGACTATGCCCGGTCCATCAGCACAATATCAGCACGCAAGAATAGTCCTGTCTGTGATGATGGCCCGGTCCCAGTAGAGCCTGGCGCGGTCATTTTCGAGCACGACTTCCGGCAAGTACTTGTAATACGGCAGTTTCCGGTCCACGAGACCGTATTTCAGAGCGAGCTCCTGGTGTAGAATTCTGGCAACTAGGTTGTGCCTGTGCAAGTACTCAGAGTTAGAAAGCGCCGAACAACCGGAGACGACATGCCTAAGTGACTCATCGGGATGGCGACAAGCTCGACAGATGTCGACGGTGCCATCCTTTAGGATGTATCTCCGATAGTTGTTGGTCTTAATAACCTGATCCTGTATCGCACAGACAAAACCCTCGGTTTCCCCGAAGAGGTCACCGAAACGTAGCCAGTTGAGGGAGGCGACTGTGTCTACGAAAGGTTCATGTAGAGCCTCCCGTGGAGCTCCTTCTCCTTCCATACAGTCTCCCGGTCGGAAATGCTCTGTACTGCCGGTTCTTGCCATTGCTCGATGGCCAAGGATAGAGGGGTAAGCCCTTTATCACAACAAATGACGTCCCTATAGAATGGATCATCCGATCTCGTCAGAAAGTAATTACGTAGGCTGCACACTTCGCAATTATGCATGGTAAGCACGCTTAATAAGCCACGCCTACCATCTTTCCGCGGCAAGTACAGCCTCATAATCGAAGATCTCGGGTGATGCTCGGGTGGTTAAGTTCCGTCTGAGTCCACCTAAGTATGCCAAAGGTATACATGAGTACAGGCATGGCCCAACCGTTATATGCTTGTGTCTTATTCACACCGGACAAAAGGCTGTTAAGGACTTTGGTCAAGCGTGCATAAAACACGTCGCAAACAGACTGTTTCATACCAGCCTCATCTATACCGATGTTCTGTTACATACCCAGGTATCGGTATGTTTCAGCCTCGGAAAGCGTCCTCAAGTTGACGGGCATAGATAAGTCTATGCCCTCAGAGTTAGCAACCCTTCCCCTTTTACATAGAGGACCGTACACTTATCCGTTCCCAGCTCCATTCCAATAGAACTGCTGAATTCACAAGTGATATTTAGCAATTCCATAAGATGGGAGCGACTGGAGGCGAATAACTTGAGGTCATCCATATAGAAAAGGTGGGTCACTTTTGTACCACCTTTCCGAAGCTGAAATCCCCTCCCGGAGCCCTCCAGTAATGTACTGAGAGGGTTCAAAGAGGAGCAGAACCAGATTGGACTTAGACAATCGCCCTGGAAAATACCCCTTCTTATCCTTATGCAGATTTCCGCAGCCGTCATCGGCTCACCCAGCTGACAAAGGATCGTACTCCACTGCCCCATATATTGCTTGAGGAAGTCTCTAACTGTACAGTCAATCTTGTACAGTTCGAGGACCCTCTTTAGCCATGTTTGGGGAACCAAATCGAATGCCTTTCTGTAGTCTATCCAGGCGGCGGAGAAGTTCCGACGGTTGTGTTTCACCACCTTGCCAATGACCGCGTAATTGAGGAGTGGTTCCTTGGTTCCACGACGGCCACCCCGACATCCATTTTGAGCACGCGACATCACCTAATTTGAGTCCAGGTGACGAGTAATTCTCGCGCTCAAAATGGATGTTAGTGTCTTGGTCGGTAGACACGTGATGGGGCGGTATTTGTTCGGGTCTGTGATAACCTTGTCTTTAGGAACCAAATAAGTGATCCCAGTAGTGAAGAGGCTAGGGAGCGACTTCTGGTTGAGAGCCTCTTGAAACTGACGGGCGAGCACAGCGTGACACACTATGAAACCCTTCATCCAGTAGTGATGCAGCCCGTTGAGTCCCGGACTTTTCCAGTTCGGGGCTCTACGGACCGTCTCAGCTACGTCATCCGGCGTTATGATGACGAGATCTATGAGCATAATACTCGCACACTGACTCGCCACAACTTCCGTCGAAGGGCTCTCACTGTGGTTTACGGGCTCTGACCACAGGCCACGCCAGAATGCGACAGTATCGGCCTGATTCGGTGCTGAGCCCGTTCCACTTACCATTGGTCGCTCCAATGATTTATAGAGCCTCTTCTGATCACTGTGGAAGAGACGATTTTGGTTGAACCATGTTGACCTCTCGGTATATTGCCGAATCCGCTTTCCCCAAGCAGCGATTCCCTGCTTCAGGTCGTTTATGCGCTCCGTCAGTTTTAGCATTATATCCGGCTGGGACAAACTAACATTTTTTCCAGCAAATGCCATCCTGACGGTGCGCACAATCCTTGGCCTGTTATTGCCTGACCTGAAGCATATCAATCTGCCGATGAGCGCCCTAGCCTTTACGATACGTTTTTCAATTCTTATTCTCCAGGCTGGGATAGCGCTACTTTATCCAGAAGCGCGTCCAGCCGTGGAAGGTTTGGCGCCTAAAATACGGTATACTGCCAGTGCGGCGCTCAAAAGAATTGAGTTCGTCTCGCAAAGGTCCCGGCTGGCTTCCAAATAGGTCACC